CCAGGTAATGATTTTCATATTGTTGACTTTGTAATTCATGTTCCAGGAAAGGTATATGCAAAAAAAAATTTTTTGGCAGCATTTTTATAACGGCAAAAACAGTAGAAACAGCCTAAAACCTCACCAGTCGAAAAAGGATTTGATAAATTTAAATATATCAGCATAGCAGAATATTAAGTAGTTCTTCCAAGTTACAATTATGGTGCTTATGTAGAAATGTCTGACAAGCGAATAGTAGAATATAAGCTAGACTGTACTCTATGATTGTAACTGTAAAGTATATGGTGGGATGTCATATGTAAATAGAGTTGTGTTAGGCTCATGAAAAAGTAAGAAGTTTTATTTTTTAATTTTATTTATTTTTATTATTATTATTTTTTTGCGGTACACGGGCCTCTCACTGTTGTGGCCTCTCCCGTTGCGGAGCACAGGCTCCGGACGCGCAGGCTCAGCGGCCGTGGCTCACGGGCCCAGCCGCTCCGCAGCACGTGGGATCTTCCTGGACCGGGGCACGAACCGTGTCCCCTGCATCGGCAGGCGGACTCTCAACCACTGCGCCACCAGGAGGCCCAGAAGAAGTTTTATTTTTTAACGTTTTCTTTAGTGTTGTTTTGGATCCAAGACATTGAGATTTGAGGAATGTTTCAGTGGTTTATTTGGACAACACAATATTTGAAATTGTCATTCTTTCAGAATCTAGCATATAGGGTCACTATAGCAATAACCTTGTCTCAGAGAGTTAAAAGAACTTAAATTATTATTATTGGAATCACTGTAAAATAATATTTATTGTTAAAGGTGGAATTATAAGGCAATATGGGAAACACAGAGAGGTTTTAAATTAGAGGAAAGCCGACGACACAGTTCCCACGAAGTAACAGTGGATCTGTGTGTCCTAACCTAGTATCATAGTATTGAATTCTCTCAAAAGGAGATTGTGACGATAAAAAATTACAGTGTAATTATAAGAAAACACAGGAAACCAGAGAAGTGAAAAATTAGAAATAAGCCCCAAGACCACAGTCACACTCAACATAGGTGACCAGGAAGAATATTTTGTCACCTCCTTTCTGAACTTTTCAGAGTGTCTGCAGTATCCTGTTACCGGATTGTGTAAAGGAGAGATTATTTCTGGGGATTGTGTGTGATGTCTGATAACACTTCAGACCAGGAGTTGCTACCCTTTTAAGACTGGCACAGCCTGGCTTTGGCGTGCTGCCGTCAGGCCCTGTGCCTGCCTGCCCGCCCGGGACAGGTGTTGGAGAGGCCTGCGGTGCCAGCTTGCATGGAGCCTGGTGCCGGCCAGGCTCGGGGAGGGTGCCCCATGTTTCTGTCGGGGGACTCGCCTCCTAGGTGTTGATCCCTGCCGAGTAAGTGCGGTGGTCTGGAAGGGAAGCTATAAACTCAGTGTGGGAAGGAGGACAAGGAATGTTTCCAATCACAGTTCGACAGAGGAGAAATGGAAAGGGGCAGGTTTCTCAGTAACAAATTAAGTTTCAGAAGTCTGAACGAGGATCTGGAGATGGAAAATAAAAACAGGGAAAGGTTAAAGGCCGCTGTGGCTGCCCTGTTTTCCTGATGTCTTACAGGATAAGTTAAATGAAATACACAGATTTTCTGGGTGTGATAGCTAAGAATTCCTACAAATCTGGGTGGGAACATAACATATTTAATAACATTTATTTGCCTGCTGAAAGTTACCTTTTTTAACACAAAAATGTTAAGTCTGTCAGACTCTGGAGAGTTATTACTGTATGTTAGGAAAATATACGCTGTTAACCTACTTGCCTCTGAATGCAGCTTTTAAAGCAAGGAAATTGCTTAAATTTAAAATTTTTTCTTTTTTTCATTGGAGCCTCCAGTGAGAATGATTCAGCGGAGTGGGAGTTTGGGAAGAGATAGAGGGCTGGTGAATGGGAGACAGGAAGGAAGCTTGGTGAAGCTGCAGGAGGTACCCAGGGGTGGGGGTGTTCCCCTTTCCTCGGCTTCCCCCTGCCCCCCAATCCCCCCACCCCCCGGGTTCCCCCCCCCCCTTCAGCCCCATTTGCTTCTCTCAAATCTCTGCTCTCTGGGCAGGACAGAATAGTGTTCCAGGAGAGAACAGTTTCTCGGCCCCTCCTTTTTTTAAAAATTTTAATTAATTTATTTATTTTTGGCTGTGTTGGGTCTTCATTGCTGCGTGCAGGCTTTCTCTAGTTGCTGCAAGCGGGGGCTATTCTTTGTTGGGGTGCTTGGGGTTCTCATCGCTGTGGCTTCTCTTGTTGCGGAGCACGGGCTCTAGGTCCGTGGGCTCAGTAGTTGTGGCATGTGGGCTCAGTAGTTGTGGCTCGCGGGCTCTAGAGTGCAGGCTCAGTAGTTGTGGTGCCCGGGCTTAGTCGCTCTGCGGCATGTGGGATCTTCTCGGACCAGGACTCGAACCCGTGTCCCCTGCATTGGCAGGCAGATTCTTAACCACTGTGGCACCAGGGAAACCCTCGGACCCTCTTTTTAACTCAGCACTTGCTTAGTCCCTTTTTTGCCTCCTGGAGAATTGACTAGTTCCTTACTGAAAGCCCTGAGAGACCCGTGTCTTAGCAAGGATAGTATGCAAAAGCTTTTGTTTCTGTGTATGTGTTTTCCTTTGATAAGATTATAAGCTCCTTAAAGAGCAGGAATCGTGTCCTAACCAATATTTGTTTTCTTATCACCTAGCACAGAGCCTCGCCACAGAACACATAGTAAATAAATGATTGAGAATTGAATAAATGACCGTAAAAAGCAAGAAATTGTAATTCTGCCAACATTCACTATATTAGGATATTCCAGAAACTTTTGTTAGAAGACTTGAAGGTGCCCAGTAAATAGATAGCACCTCTCTTCCTCAGGTTCTGAACTGGTGGATCTATAAGAATCAGAAGCTAGAAAACTAAATTTATATTACTGATAAGCCACATTCTGTGTCAGCTGACGTAAGAGGGTCGGAGTTGCTAACTCGCGGCCCCCAGGTAGACTGTGGTGTGGCCCATTGGAAGGGACATTTTTTTTAGTTGAAGTATCGTTGATGTACAATATTACATAAGTTACAGGTGTACAATATAGTGATTCACAATTTTTAAAGGTTATAGTCCATTTATACTTATTATAAAATATCGGCTTTATTCCCTGTGTTGCACAGTGTACCCTTGTAGCTTATTTTACACATGATAGTTTATGCCTCTTAATCCCCTACCTCTGTCTTGCCCCTCCCCTTTTTCCTTTCCGCACTGGTAACCACTAGTTTGTTCTCTATATCTGTGAGTCTGCTGCTTTTTTGTTTTATTCACTAGTTTGTTTTGTGTTTCAGATAAGTGAAATCATACAGTATTTGTCTTTCTCTGTCTGACTTACTTCACTTAGCGTAATACCCCCCAAGTCCATCCATATTGTTGCAAATTTCATTCTTCTTCATGGCTAGTAGTATTCCATTGTGTGTGTGTGTATATATATATATGTATATACATATATATATATATATACACACCACATCTTCTTTATCCATATCCATTCATCTGTTGTTGGACAGTTAGGTTGCTTCCATATTTTGACAATTGTAAATAAAACTGCTATGAACATTGGGGTGTATGTATCTTTTCAAATGAGTATTTTTCGGATATATACCCAGGAGTGGAATTGCTGGGATGTGGTAGTTCTATTTTTAGTTTTTTGAGAAACCTGCATACTATTTTCCACAGTGACTGCACCAACTTGCATCCCCTCCACCAGTGTAACAGGGTTCCCTTTTCTCCACATGTTCACCAGCGTTTGGTTATTTGCGGTCTTTTTGAGGATAGCCATTCTGTCAGGTGTGAGGTGATAATCTCATTGTGGTTTTGACTTCCATTTCCCTGATGATTAGCATTCATCTTTTCACGTGCCTGTTGACCATCTGCATTTCCTCTTATGGAAGGGATGTTTGAATCAAGGACAGACACCCTTACCCAGGACATAGAGAGAAGGAGAAAAGAAACCAACTCCTCCAATAGCCCCCGCCCTGTCACCCTGCCTGCAGTGCAGGGTCATTGTCTGTGGCTCACTCATAGGCAACTGCCTCTACCTTGAGGGTAGAGGAAGGCTTGGGGCAAAGGAACAGGAGTATCAGGAGTATTTAGTGTTTAGTGTTTACTTTCCTGATACCGCTCCTCAGTTTTGGACTTTCGACCCTTTGGGCTTACCCGTTGTTAAGCCCATGGCCCTCCCTCTCTGCACGGAGATGAGCAGACTTCCTGTGGCCGTGCTCCTGCCTTCTTGAGCCTGTTCTTTCTCCTGCTGGCACCAGCCCTGCTTTGTCGATCCTCTGTGGACCACTGGGATGCACAGTTGGGTTTTCCCCTGGAAAGCTCTGAGATGCATTATAATAATTCATCGATAATCTGCTCCAAAGCCACACTGTGCCCCAGGTCTGAAGTTCATATCCTCATCTGTTTCCAATCCCAGATTCTTTCAAGTATCCAATAAAGCTTACCAGAGCTTTGAAAGGGGATCAAATAACAGAATTAAGATATTCCAAAAAAAACAAAAAAACAAAAAAAACAACCCAGCCTTATAAGGATGCCCCATCACAGAACTGTATAGTGAAGTGAATAAGAAAGTGAATTCTAAAACCAGGCCACCTGGGTAAAAGTCTCGGTCCTGAGTGGTCTTGGCCAGTTTACCTAACCCTTTCATGTCTCAGTTTATCTATAAAACAGACAATAGCGCTACCTCATAGGAGTGCTATAGTTATTGAATAAATGAATACATGTAGAAAGCTTAGAACCTAGTATCTGGCACATAGCTAAAATGCATTTATCACGTAAAAAAGTTTTTGTATATAAACCCTCTCCTATTATGAAACTCTCAGGGAGAAATTTAAAATTCAGAGAAGTAATCCTTGGCAAGACATGAAAGTTCAAGGTTGTAGTCCCACATCAAATTATGTTGGCCTGCGAGCTAACATGCAGAGAATTTGAAGTCCTCCCTAATTCCTTTTTTTTTGGTCTTAGCCAGAGAGCTTCTCCATGCCTGTGTGCAGCTGGGGTAACTCCCCCTGCCCCCCGCCCAGGACTTCTCGGAAAGCCCCCTGCCAGGATGTGCGTGGCTTCCCCAGGGCTTCTCAGAAATTACAGTAGTTCAACACTAAGTCTCTCTTGTCTCTGCTTGTTTCAAGTGGAGCTTGAGTCTAGAATCTTTTTTTTTTAAAATAAATTTATTTATTTCTTTTATTTTATTTCTGGTTGTGTTGGGTCTTCTTTGCTGCATGTGGGCTTTCTCTAGTCATGGTGAGCGGGGGCTACTCTTCGTGGTGGTGTGTGGGCTTGTCATTGTAGTGGCTTCTCTTGTTGTGGGGCACGGGCTCTAGGCACGCGGGCTTCAGTAGTTGTGGCGCACGGGCTTAGTTGCTCCGCGGCATGTGGAATTTTCCTGGACCAGGGCTCAAACCCGTATCCCCTGTGTTGGCAGGCAGATCCTTAACCACTGCGCCACCAGGGAAGCCCGAGTCTAGAATCTTAACAAGACACACAGGAATATTAGATTATCAACCTTACATCCACCAAGTTTGGAAAACATGCCCCCAGCCCTCAAGGCACTAATTTTGGGCAGAATTGTTCCCAGTACTTCATCTTTGCCAAAGAGAGGGATGGAAGGCTGAAACCATCACCTTGGTTTCAGCTTCAGCTCATGCCAGTTGTTCTGAGGCCAAGACCTGCGCCCTTAATCTCTGTGGGCAGAGGTTGTCTGTCTGGAGGCGAGTTTGGGGAGGAGCCACCTCCTCTCTTCAGAAGTGACACCGAGATGCTCAGATTCTCGGGTCTGTGCTCAGAGTCAGAGCCTTGCTGTGGGGCAGTCCAGTCACCAGGTGTGTCTGTCCTCTCCTCTTTGCAGGGAGCCCTTGTTTCCGGCACTCCTGTGCTGAGTGGTGTCCCCGCTCTGTTAAGGGATGGAACATCTGTGGGTGGGGACTTTGAGACCTGTTTGTGGTGTGGTTTCCGTTGCCTCTTACCAGGAGCACACAGAGGCTTCTGGAACCTGCTTCTTTGGGAAGGTTTTTCCCTTTTCGTCCGGCTTGTTTCAGGTGGAGCTTGTTCGCAGCAGATTCCTGGCGGGGAACTGCTGTTGACACTCGGGGGTCTTGGGGCCCAGTGCGGGTAGCTTCTGGCCCCCGAGCCCCGCGCTGTCTCCTCCAGCTTGTGCGTGTGCCCTTCTTTGTCTCTAGGCTGTGTTCTGCCTGCAGGATGTGCTGGTCTCTACCTGTCCCCTTTTCCTGTCAGGGAGGCTTAGATGAGTTTCTTGCTGTTTAACCAGCTGCTTTTGCCGGTCTCTTTTTCCCTAATGCTTGTAAGCTACTGCTGTCTGCTGGAATTGCTGCATTCCTTTTTCTTTTTCTTTTTTTTTTAAACCTTTTTCTTTCCTTTTCGGTCTAAATCTATTTTTTCCTCTAGGTGTTCCTCTAGATATTTTCTTGTGATTTCTCCCAAGGCAAGAGAGATACAGTTGCTAAGTTCTGGGCCTGCCGAATCTTCTTCTATTCCTTGCATTGGGTGCTCTTACATCGGAGACGCTCTCCCAATAGACCAGCATCTAATTTAGGGCTGGCATCAGTCTGTCTTGTTCTCCCTGGTTCCCCTTTAGTAGGTTTCCTCGATGCTGTGCCTTCTCTTAGACTGAGTCCTAATTCCATAAACTTTGCAAGTGTGTTCCCTCAGGGCACAGGTGGTGACAGTCCCTCCACCTGCTGTGCTCCGAGCATCTTCATCTGATCTCCGATCTCCACCGCTACCCCCACCCCTCACAGCCTGTCCAGAGTTTGTATAATCCTTGGTAGAGCTGTGTCAGTCTTTGGAGATGTGGGTAGGTCCTCAGTTGCTCTCACTGTGGGTTTTGTACCTGGCTTTAGAAGTGTGTTTCTCCACAGTTCCTACAACTGAATCCTGGTTCCTTCAGGAGGAGCAATTCCAGTCCTCTGAGATCTCGCTTGTCTTCCTTTATTAGAGGTTTTTGTTTTTGTTTTTTAAGGCTCAAACAAGCACAGAGATATTGCTCCCTCACTTGAGTTAGACTCCAGGCTGTCCCTGTCTCTGTCTGTTGAACCGGGTGTCAAGGTCTCCTTTTCTGTTGCAGCTCTGTCCAGTTATTCCCCAAGATGTCAACCTTTCTCCAAAGGGTGGCCCTCTCTGCCTCCTGTTTCATCAACCTGCCTTGCTTATTTTTGTTGTTTTGTTTTTGTTCCTCTTGTCCTGACAGGAAGATGAGAGAGTGTTCTAAGCTCTAAGCTTCTAGCACCTTTCTGATTTCCGGAATGAGCCTAATCGTTCCAAGGACAGCCCTTAGTGGTTGCCTTCTTCGTGCAGGCAGTAATTTTGTCAAATTGCTTTTCTGACTCAACCCAAGATGACAGCATATCTCTTTAATAAGATTATCCTTATTGCTTCTTTATTTATAAAATCTGCCCCCATCTATGTATCTTCCACTTTGGATCTTGAAAATCTGAAGCAGCGGTTAGCATTTAGGTGATTAATAGCTGTAGGGCCAGGGATTTGGAGGGGAACTCTTGAGTCTGTGGACCAACCACATGAACTTAAAATAAACCTTCTCACAGTTCCGACTTGTATCCATAAAGATAAGGCATAAAAAGGAACAGAATTTGGAGCAGCCTGTCTATACTGCTTGCCTGGAGTTGGACCCAACAGTTTCTTCAAGATCGGGCTATAGAAACACCAGATAGTATTCTGGAAGCTCTCTCTATTTTGAGGAGAGAGCCCTGACTGGGACACCATTTTGTTTTTGTTTTGTTTTTCCTTCCCCTGCCCTTTCGCTTTTCTTTTCTTGTGGTAAAATATGCATAACACAGAATTCACCATTTTAACCGTTTTAAAGTGCACAGTTCAGTGGCATTAATTATACTCACAGTGCTATGCAGCCGTGACCACCGTCCACTTCCAGAACTTTTTCGTCTGCCCAAACTGAAACTCTGTCCCCCATTAAGCAGTGATTCCTCATTACCCACTCCTCTCAGCCCCTAATAAACATTATTCTACTTTCTGTCTCTATGAATTTGAATATTCTAGGTCCCCTCGTACATGGACTCATACAGTATTTGTCCTTTCGTGACCGACGTATTTCACTTAGCTCACAAGGTTCCTCCATGTTGTAGCAGGTGTCAGAATTCCCTTCCTTTCCCTTTTTAAAAATTAATTAATTAATTAATTTTTGGCTGCATTGGGTTTTCATTGCTGCGCGTGGGCTTTTCTCTAGTTGCAGAGAGCGTGGGCTACTCTTCGTTGTGGTGCGTGGTCTTCTAATCGTGGTGGCTTCTCTTGTTGTGGAGCACGGGCTCTAGATGTGCGGACTTCAGTAGTTGTGGCATGTGGGCTCAGTCGTTGTGGCTCGTGGGCTCTAGAGTGCAGGCTCAGTAGTTGTGGCGCACGGGCTTAGTTGCTCCGCGGCATGTGGAATCTTCCCAGACCAGGGCTCGAACCCCTGTCCCCTGCATTGGCAGGCGGGTTCTTAACCACTGCGCCACCAGGGAAGTCCTCCCTTCCCTTTTAAGGCTGAATAATATTCCACTGTATATATATCCCGTGTTTTGTTTATTCATTCATCCATTGGTGGATTTCGGGATGTTTCCATTTGGCTACTGTGTGTAATGCTGCTGTGAATATAGGTGTACAAATACCTGTTCAAGCCCCTCCTGTCACTTTTGGGTGTAAACCCAGGAGCAGAACTGCTGGATATTTTAATTCTGTGTTTAAAGTTTTGAGGGACCACTGTACTGTTTTCCACTGCAACACCCTTTCTTTCACATCCTTGTCTGTGCCATGCTTACTTAGGTCAAAGCCGTGCTGTATTGTTCAAGGGCAAGCCACAGCAGCCTGCATCACAGAGCCTGAACTTGGGCCGAGTGTGGGTCCAAGCTCAAGGGCTGAGCCAGGCCTTCAGGGCTCACTTGCCATTTGCTTTAGGCCCAGCGGCAGCCAATTGTATAAAAATAGCTGCTTGTCTTTGGATCGCACTTCTGTACGTTGCGTGACCTACCAAGGTGGAAATCCCACATGGCTGTCCTGGAACTGCCAGCCCAGGTTGTGGTCGTTAAGGGCCAGCTGCCAGAGTGTAAAAGTCCAGGGTATTGCACAACGCAGGCCACTGCCACTTGGTCCGACCAAAAGTATTAATATTTCAGTGTTAACTTGTTCTCCACATTGTGTTTTGTCTTTAATGGTTTTTGGCACATTTCAGGGGGGTGGGAGATGGTGTGCAGTCAATGACCCTTCTCTCTTTTCTTGGATTCTGAACGATTTATGAAATAAGACAAGAAGAATTTGAAACGTTTAAGACAAAAAATCCCTTCTCTTGGAAACCAAAGGACTGGGGAAGAGGAGTTTCCCTTCTAACAACTTTGATGTGGGGAAAATGCTTCCTAGAAGCATTTAAATGACTTGTTGTGGAGTTTGACTAAATGAATGCATGAACTGTGAATGAAAAAGCTAATGCTCCCTTTTGAGGGCCTGCTTCATGCACTGTGACTGGCATATGTATCACATTTAATGCTGGTAGCATGGCTGTGAGTCCATTAACTGTTTTATACAAGAGGAAGCTGAGTCTTGGAAAAGGTAGGGATTATCCCCAAGGTTTCATCTTCAGTCCATGTTGACTGCAAAGCCACTTGGCCACACTGCCTTTTTCAAAAAGATGTGGATAAGGGAAAATGTGATACATATGCTTTTCTTTAATGATAAAATTGATTTTTATTTATGTCTAATATTACATTATATATTGGAAAGAAATCTGTTGCTCTGACCAAGTACTATTCACTTTTCTTTTTTAACTGGAGTCTAACAGCTTTACAATGTTGTGTTAGTTTCTGCTGTACAATGAAGTGAATCAGCTTCATTGTACATATATCCCCTCCCTCTTGGACCTCCCTCCCACCCCACCCCCATCCCACCTGTCTAGGTCGTCACAGAGCACTGAGCTGAGCTTCCTGTGCTTTATGGCTTGTTCCCACTAGCTGTCTATTTTATGCATGGTAGTGTATATATGTCTGTCCTAGTCTCCCAATTCATCCCACCCTCCTCCTCCCCCACTGTGTCCACATGTCCGTTCTCTATGTCTGCATCTCTATTCCTGCCCTGGAAATAGGTTCATCTGTACCATTTTTCTAGATTCCACATATATGCGTTAATATACGGTACTTGTTTTTCTCTTTCTGGCTCACCTCACTCTGTATGACAGACTATAGGTCCATCCATATGTCTACAAGTGACCCAATTTCGTTCCTTTTCATGGCTAATATTCAACCCTTTTTCCCTTAAAACAAATAAAAACAACTAATTTCAGCCAGTTCTTAGGGTTTTACAAATATTTTCGTGAGTGGGTCTGATATCGTTTCAGTGGTTACAGATCTGATATTGTTTCAGTGATTACAGATCTGAGAACCAGAAGGTTAGTGGTAGTGGTGAGGGCTGAAACACCACTGATGGTTAATATTAGGGTGAAGCAACCGAACTCAGCTGAGCCTGTCTGTTACGCAGGAGACACTAAATTAGGAGTTCAGTTAAAGAGTGTGAGTGTTGTGCAGAAGGGACCCAGGAAAGCACTCATTTTATACACAATGATTTGCTGTATAGAATGTATTGTGTGCAGCACCGTATGTGTGGGCCACTGGCTGGAATGGTCACGTGGCTTATGTGGGCTCTGTGTTCCTAAGACACACGTGGGTATAAGAGACTTACCTCTGTAAGCGCCTCTACAATTTAGCATTCAGAATTGTGAAAGGGAAGAAAAATGAGAAGGAGAACTCTCAGGTTGGGATATATCTAAGTAATTTTTTTAATATTTCATACATTATGTTCCTGAAATGAACGGTTTTCATATGTGATCATTACTGGGAACATCATAATTTCATATCTGTTGTTCATTCTCTCTGGATTAATGCATTATAGACTCTCATATACTCTTGTCGGGTTATGGTTTACTCTTGTTAGTGAAAGTCATCTCAAATGACTTAGAACTTTGTCTATCATTTTCTTTCCTGTTTAATTGCACACAGACCCCCAGAATCACACTCTGCCCCTGGCCTGGTACACAAAGACCAATTTTTTAGCAAGTAGAGGAAGGTGATTTTTTTTCTCTTTCATCCCATTCCCTAAATTCATACTTCTTCTCCACAAAATACATGCCATACAAAAGAAGTCTTAACAGGGCTATTTTCTGGACTGTTACATTATCTCCTGGTATGGTTTTCTAAGACATATTTTCATGCTGAAGAATTTTTAGGCTTTTAAGTACCTAGGAGAAATAGACTTGGCCTGTTCAGATTTACTTGGAAAAAATACTGATGACTTATGTTAAAAGAACTGCTGTTTTTTGTTTTTTGTTTTTCTGTTTTTCTACTAACTAAACTTCGGACCTTTGATAAGTCATTTAACCCCTCCAAACCACATCTTTTCCCATCTTCTAAAATAGTATCATACACTTATGTGAAAACTACTTAGGGGACTTCCCTGGCGGTCCAGTGGTTGAGACTTCGCTTCCCAGTGCAGGAGGTACAGGTTCGATCCCTGATCAAGGAGCTGGGATCCCACATGCCTCAGGGAGCAGAAGCAATATTGTAACAAATTCAATAAAGACTTTAAAAATGGTCCACATCAAAAAAAAAAAATCTTAAAAAAAACTACTAAGGAATTATTGTTTCTTTTAGCTGTCAAATTTAGGAATTAATTTATTAAAATAATGTGGGAGGTTTCAAAAGTAGAGAAGTAGGTTTTTGTTTGTTTTTCTTTTATAATCTGCCCAGGCACACTTCTGCATAAGGGGTCGAAACAAATGTCAAAACAGCTGGGGTCCTTTCAGAGGTAATTTGTAATCCCAGTGTGCCTGTGGTTGCCCCAGGTGGCTCATGTTTTGGTTATAGTTTCTGATTTTAAGTCGAGATTGCAATACTTTTGTTCCTTTGGGAGAGAAAGACAGGAACATTTAAATTTCTCTTTGAGAAAACTCGGCATGCTTCAAGGGCCGTTTGGAGGTGTAGGAACTCCCCCTGGTGGGAGTCTGAAATACGTTGTACAGCAAACGAAACAATGTTGCAGTTTACTTTTGTTATGTTTTCAGCTAACAGAAGAATCTTACTTAACATGGTAAATTATAAATTCATTCGTAGTAAATTATAAATTTGTCACCAAGAATGACAAAATACTGGGCTTTAAATCACATCAAATCACTGTGCAGATAGGATTTTTAATCATGTTCAAAGTCATAATTTTGAACTTTAACATAATTTCAACATGTGAAGGAATATTTTAGGCAAGAAAATTGCCTTGTCAGGTTAAGACCTATAGTTAAATTGTTGGTAGGCTGGATTTGGCCTACCGGCATAGCGAGTTGACCCCTGATCCTTCAGGTGTTTGTTAGGAATAAAGGGAAGTGAACAGATCCAGGGGCTGCTGAGGAGGTCCAGTCAGCACACCTGGGGTCTGGGTCTGTTTGCTGGAGCTGAGTGAGGGAGGCGAAGTGAGGTTGGTTTCCAGGTTTCTGGCTTAAACCACTTTACGAGTAACGAGACCCACAGCAAGGACCTGGCTCTCTGGGCGTGGGTGAGGATTCAGAGGGGCGCCCAGCCGCTGGTTCCCTGTGTGGGTGTGCGTAGAGGCCTGCGCTGCTGAGATGAACGTGGGGGGCTTCAGCGTGTCGCAGACCCCCCGCGGGAGAGAGGGAAGGGGGCCGAGGTGGAATCTGGAGTGACTAACAGCTGGTGCCCGAGGAGGAACAGCCAGCGAAGCAGGAGCCTAAGAGGACGGAGGAACACCGAGAGAAGGCGACATGGCAGAGAAGTGTTGGGCCAAAGAGGTTTCTATCAGGTTTGGATACGAGGGGGTCACTTATAACTTTGATTAACGCAGCTTCAGGGAGTAGTGGGCTTTCTTTGTGTATGTCTTTAATGTGGGACCTGCTCACAGAAAAACATATTCGAAGATCTAGCTCTTCTTTAAGATTTGAGGTTCAGTTTATAGGTGGTATTACTCTAAGTCTAACTGATACTAGCAATTACTTTTTTTTTTTTAAAACGTTTCTTTTTTAAAAAATTATTTATTTATTTATTTATTTTTGGCTGTGTTGGGTCTTTGTTGCTGCACGCGGGCTTTCTCTAGTTGTGGTGAGCAGGGGCTACTCTTCGTTGCTGCACGCGCGCCTCTTATTGCAGAGCACGGGCTCTAGGTGCGCAGGCTTCAGTACTTGTGGCACGCGGCCTCAGTAGTTGTGGCTCATGGGCCCTAGAGCGCAGGCTCAGTAGTTCTGGCGCACGGGCTTAGTTGCTCCATGGCATGTGGGATCTTCCCGGACCAGGGATCGAACCTGTGTCCTCTGCGTTGGCAGGCAGATTCTTATCCACTGCGCCGCCAGGGAAACCTGCAATTACTTTGTAAGAGAGCCTTTGGTTAATGTTTGGTCCTATTTACAAGCTTGGTTAAACCCCCTAACTATTTTTCACTACACTTTAAAATGTAATGTGGGAAAAAAAAAAAAGTAATGTGCTCTGGTCCCTCGGCATCTGTGGGTGAATGGATCCAGGACCCCCCTTGGATACCACACTCCAAGGAGGCTCAAGTTCCTTCCGGTCTGCATCCATGGAACAGAGGATCAACTGTATTTTGTTCTTGTTTTGTACTTTAATTGCTGAATGACAATTGAAGTGGTTAAACATGTGTTTTTATATAATGTACTTAGGTAGTTCTTATAAATCTAACACATTAAACGTAATTGTGGTGATTCCACGTAAAAGGAAAGTCAGCCGAGGATTTGGGGGATGCCTTCTTACCTTGCTGAGATTTTCGGGTGTTCCGACTGTGACTGCCAAGCCAAGTGCCTTGATTATAACCACTATGCGAGACACGTCACACTGAACAGAAGGGGAAATCTCACAGCGGAGATCCTTTAGACTCACGTGCTGCACTACCTGACTTCTCTGTGTATTCGCCGTCTGCTGCCCCCGCCCTCCCACCCAAATGGCCGTATCCCTGGATTGACTTTGCATTTCTTTGTCTTCACAATATGTCGATATCATCCCACGTGGCTGTTAAGATCTTTGAACTTTATGAAATTCTGCAGTCTTTTCGTATACTTTTGTCTCTTCCATCCACGTCTCTTCCACACGTGAAAAATGATAGCCAGTTGAATTTGGGGCATCTCCTGTGGTTTTCTCATAGCGTCTAAGCTCACTCTGCAGATGGGAGGCAGACATCAGAACCGTTGATTGGCTCTTACTGGGTGAACCTACTTTAAAATAAGAGCAGACTCCTACGTTGGAACAAAATATTTGAAAAGTATAAGAAATGCCAAACGACAGTGTTCCGGTGTATATTTAGAACATATTTATCTGCTTATTGCCATAATAGGAATTTTCATGTTGCCCAAGGGAGAGCTTATGATTTCCATTAGATGTAAGCTCAGTGACAGAAAAGATTTTTCTCTGTTTTATTCACTATTGTATTTCCAGTAAATTGAATTTTACCTAGCATTTAGCAGACGTTCAAATATATGGTGAATGAATGAAGAAATGTCCTTTCTGAATAAATGATAGATTGTTTATTACTGACAGTAGATTGTGCCTTTTGCTTCCTTTTAATTTCTTTCTCCCCTTTTTTCTGCTTTTAGGCAGAAACCACTAACACTAGCCTCTTGCAAGTGCAACTGGAATGCAGTTTACATAATAAAGTGTGTCAGCAACTAAAGGTAAAATAAAAAATTTAGTGTTTTCTTCCTGCCTTCCTTCCTGCCTCTTTGCTTAGAAATAAAAAATAAAACAGCATGTTCTGTTCTCAGAAATGCACATGCCCTTACCTTAAGTGCTTTTTTCCCTGTGAAGTTCAAAACGAAAAAATTCAGATGATATTTTTGAGTTTTTCCTTTTTCTCCATCCCTCCGATCTCAGAGTTGCTATGTGGAATCAGACGATGTTTTACGGCTACAAATGAGCATAATTGTAACAATGGAAAACGCCTCGAAAGAATTTGAAGAAAACACACAAGATTTGTTAGATCATCTCTCTATTATTTATGTAGCTACAGATAAATCTGAGACCTCAGGTAAGGTGGAATCTTTAAACTTTTCTGTTACAACATATTTTGATTAACCTGTGTCATCATTCTATATCATTTACTTATAGATCGTATCATTGCAATCCAAGACAGAGAGCCTTTGCTTTCATTATTAGCACAGTGTAGTAGTAACTGGTTCTCAATCTGCACCTGCTAGTAAGGCTGTATTATTTTGGGGTAAATTAAGTGGCAGCGGACTTCCCTGGTGGCGCAGTGGTTAAGAATCTGCCTGCCAGTGCAGGGGACACGGGTTTGAGCCCTGGTCCGGGAAGATCCCACGTGCCACGGAGTAACTAAGCCTGTGTGCCACAGGCTGAGCCTGCGTGCCACACCTAATGAAGCCCGTGCACCTAGAGCCCATACTTTGCGACAAGAGAAGCCACCGCAATGAGAAGCCCATGCACCGCAACGAAGAGTAGCCCCCACTAACTGCAACTAGAGAAAGCCCGCGTGCAGCAACAAAATAAATAAACAAACAAACAAACAAATAAATAATAAATTAAGTGGCAATGGCAAACCATTCTGTGTTTCCCTGGGAAGAATTTTTCTTGGCGTTCTGAAGATAGTAAACTAATTAAATGGGCACGACAATCTAATATAAATATTCACGAAGTATTTGAAGTCTTGTGTCTCTTGTTTCTGTTTTACTGATTTGCAGAAGCTCAGTTGACCAAATCATGCTGTTTATATTTCTAATAGTTGGTTGTCCGCTGCTTATTCCTGGATGCCTGATCAGTAAGAGTAGTGTGAGTTTCAGTGTTCATTTCTATGAACTTTATCTTTGAAATTGTGTGTCCTACTTACCAAAAATAACCTAGTTTATCAGTTTAAGTTTCTGAGAGATTTTGTAGGAGACACGTATGATCCATGTGATTTATCATGTAGGGTTTGCTCTTATCCATTGGTTATCAAGACTGTTCTGGTAAGTGAGAGTGTGTGTGTATGTACACACGTATACACATTCAGAGAAAGAAATGGTACCAAAATACAGTTTTAAATTGGCAGTCTTAATTGTTGGTCAGACATTGTTTACTTCCCAGTCCTCAGAATTGGCTGTAGTAGACATGGGTTAGCAGGAGAGCTTTCCTGTCCTTGGGTTCATAGTTTCTGGTGATTCCCAGAATGGCCAGGTAGACATCAGTGTAGAGAAGACTCCTGTCCCATGGGGAGCACTTCTGTTGGTGAGGATTAAAGGGAAGCCTGCATTTTGAGATCCAGGGTTTTATTTTTCCCAAGTGTGGTTGTCAAATAAGGAAACGAGGGGCTGTCTAATCAATAGGAGACCTTAACTTTATTTGAAGCTGTCCAGTTGGTTAGTTTCATCCAGGGGAGTAGTACTATGACCCTAAACTCAGACTTTTTCTACTGGTAGCTCATCATTGAGAGAACCTGTGTTGACAGGTCAATCGTTTTGCCAAGGTCCTTTTTCTTGTGACTTAATCAACAGAAAATAGCTCCTCACTTCAATTTTGTTGAAAAGTGAGCTACATTTTTTTATAGAGATGTGTAATGTGATGGTTTAACTACTACATTAAGGTGTGAGGATGAGATGGCCCTTTCTTCTAACCTCATTGCACTGATTCTTTTGGACAGATGATTCGGCAGTGAACATGTATATACTGCATTCAGGAAACAGCCTTCTGTGGATACAGGTAATTGTAAATACTTTCATAAAGTGTAGTTTAAACTTACAAGTGTGTATTTAATTGCAGAACATGAAGATTTTGGAGAAAACACTTGTCTCTATTATTTTTTGCTTTCATTTAAACCCATTCTCCCTTGCTCGAGCCCATATTTGGACGAAGGTTGTCAGCACCCCTTCGTACCATCACAGGCACATCTGCTGAGCAGTTGTTCTGTATGCCGGTCTGAGCTACTTAGTCATTTTAACAGGGTTGATTCAAACTGGATCAGTCTTCTCCAGCTAAGAGCAGTACTGTGGATTGTTTTTTGTTACAGGATGTACATCATTTCTCACAGAGAGATGCCCTGTCTCTGCAGTTTGAACCGGTACTCCTACCTACGTCCACAACAAACTTTACAAAAATTGCCTCTTTTACTTGCAAAGGTACGGATTTTAAAAATGTTGGAGATTGTCTTTTTATTTTCATTATCCAGTTGTTATGCCTGCAGTTCTTTCTGTGAAATGACTCACAGCTACAGCATAGGCAAGGCTTTAGGAAGTGAATGGGCTCGGTTTCAATTCCACAGACTTAACAGTTATAAGAGGTAGCGTGATGGAAGAAGTGATGGTGATGCTGCTTTTATTCTGCCCCATGTGCAGGATTTTGAGTTTATAGATCGTAATTCAGTTGGTGATTTGAAAGACCAGGTTGTATATGAGTCTGATGGACATACTGCTTTCACAGAGAGGTTGAGCTGCCCCAGGTTTGTTTCTTTGTGTAGAAATCAATGCAGAATGTCTAGCGAGTATAAACCCAATCCTATCTTCAGGGTCTTACTTATAGTTCAAAAGATTTCTGTAAAGAAATGCATTTTAAACATAAGAAAACAAGCACCACCTCACTTACACTGAAAGAAATGTTAACTTAAAGCAATACATGAGGTATAATTTATGACTTAGATCTATGAAGGTCAAACAGAATGTTAATATTCTGTGTTGGTAATGATTAGGAAGAAAAAAAACCTCATATTTTTGACATGGATATAAATTGATGCAGCCTTTTTGGGAGGGAAAATTGGCAGTCTCTGTGAAAATTGAAGATGTGCCTATGTGCTCTCTGATCCTTAATTCTACTTCTAGAAGGTTATCTAGAGATACACTTTAGATGTTCAAAACTGTAACATAGGAATATGCATTGTTTGCGGCAGCATAACAGTTTAAGCCTCCACTGACAGAGAATTGTAGTTCATCCCCGGGGGCAGGGGGGCTAGCGTCTGCAGGTGTTAAGAAGCATACGTGGGCGTGCAGTATCAGCAGTGTCGTTCTTCTAAGGGTATCTGTGTATTTGTATATGTTAGAGCACCTGGAAGGATGCTTGGGAGTCTGCTGGCAGTTGTTTCCTTTGTCTAAGGTAATGGGGAAGTCAGGGGGAAAGGTAGACTTTTATTTTCACATCTTTTTGTTAGTGTTTGAAGTTTGGGGGGAACCATATATATAGCTAAAAGAAAAAAAAGAGTTGGGTATTAGTATCAGAGTCAAGAATTCAGTACCAGTGTTTTGATGTTCTTCCATGGCTCAAGGAATGCTTGAAAGTGACTTGATACCTCAGCAGTGTTTTGCAGCGCGGGCCCACATTGGCTGTGATCTCCTCCGTGCTCTCAGGTTGAGCTGCTCCTTTCTCACTCACACCTCCACCACGCCTCTTCACTGTTCACTTTTGTCATCTCTGCAGACCTAAGGACTTGCCTCTTACTTAAGATCTTTGAAAAAGGAGAGCCACAAAGCGTTGACTGTGTTCCCCCCCCACCCCCCGCCAAAGAAGAAATGAGAGGTTGCTTTAGGAAAGAGGGGTGGGTAGGTAGACACCACGTTCTCGGTAACTTCCTGGGCACGCAGCCAGGAAGGCGGAAAGACAGTGTTCAAGAAAGGATTTTATTGGAGCCAGAAGAGTGAAGGAACTAAAACATAACAAATAAAACATTTATCTTGTTTTTGTTTGGGCATAATGAAAGAAAAGATACTGATACTTCACATTTATTTCCTCCTACCTCTAAACAGCTCCATCCTGTGACAGTGGGATGAGAGAAGACAGGAAGAAAAAAAACACTCCGACACTAAAAGCGTGCCTCTCCTCTCCTGTGTCTCAAGGGTGGGTGAATTTCGCTTTCTCTGGTATTGAGTGGTTCCCCTCCACCCCCTCCATCTAGAGATGATTTAAAAATATAACGGAGACTTGCATGATTCTGTCTCTGGACTTGCCCTCCCTACATTAGCACAGCTAGTAGGAAGTGAAAGGGTGGTTTGCAGGATGGGAGGGAAGAAGCTGAATGACGGAGGTTGTGGATCAGATCCAGGCCAGGCGGCCACATGTGGGAGAAAGAAGAAGTACTCCTGCACAGTTTCTGAGTTACATTTGGGTCCTGGTTTTGCCTGGTGGCCTCTGTGAGCCATCCTGGTCCTGGCTCCATTGCCCCCTCTGGCCTTCAGATGCTCCACTCGTGGGCAGGAAGGTTGAAGAAGGCAACTTGTCTCATCCTTGCCAGTACTTACATTTGTTCTCTGACATGTCATGCGGCTACCATTTTTGCAGTTAGAGGCTCATTCGCACGCTAACAGCTGTTGTACACACAGGGCTGATGGCATGCATGTCCTGTGTTCACAGGTATTTTCGAATGGACTCTTCTGCCACCCAGTTTCACATAGAGACTCATGAGAACACATCAGGACTTTGGTCAATGTGGTACCTCAACCATTTTGACCGTGGTGTTGTATTGAATGATGTGTTTGTTTCCAAGGAGACCAAGCGTGTTTTAAAGGTACACATGGTATTTTTATCCAAGTTTAGCCTATTTTAAGATTTGTTTAGTGTCAAGTACTATGAAACTGATATTTACAAAATCTTACTTTCACTTATGAATTTTAAAGCAAGTGTGTTTCTTTTAACGTTTTCAGAATTACATTTAGGCTCTCTTTATTTTTTTCAAACTATTGTTCAAGGAGCTCAAAGGGACCAGGATACATCTTTTAGAGATATTTGCTGTTACCATTATTTAAAAATATTATAAATTATAATTTATTCTAAAAAGATTATATTTAGTAAAAAGAAGCCTGGTTCATGATACAATACTAGGTTTTTGTAAAATACTGCCTGTGAACATTTCAAGATTACTTTTGTGAAATTTAAAAACAGTTGCATGCTAAATATTAAGTGAAACCTATCATTTATATAAAAATATTTCAATATTGGACCTGGAAATAACTGAGTAAAATTGTATTTCTCAAAGTATAGAAGAACTTTAGTATCACACATTATAATGATTTTAATCATAATTAGCGTTAGTTAGGAAAGTAATTTCTCTTACTTCTTTTCTTTTTAGATTCTGAATTTCACTGGCCCTTTATTTCTACCTCCAGGCTGTTGGAAAATATTTTCTTTGAAACTTGCCGTTAAAGACTTTGCCATAAATCTATTCACCCGTGTATTTTTGACTACAAACGTAGGTGCTGTTTTTGCAGTACCTCTACAGATTTACTTGGCGCCGACCAAGGTATTGTTTACACAGTACATATGTGTTATAATTTTTGTAATAATTATTGTTTCTTTTTATTAACTTATCTTACGGTGCTTGGACTTTATTGACCGAGTTGAGCTCATGTTTTTTAAGGCTGCCTAAGAAATTGAAGGATATTACCCGGCCAGTCTTAGATGATAAATTGTTCAGATACAGAAATCTTTATTTGAAAAGAGTTTCTATTTCTCATAAAGTGATATGAGGTAATTTTCAAATGAAATAAGCCATTACAGGTCGATAGATCTCATTTTCACTTATTTCCAAAATGTATGGAGCAAGGAATATGTGCTTGCTGTAGCAAACACAGTTGAGCTTTTAGGACATACTTGCAATGACTTCAAATAAACTAAATCATTAAATGTTTTATTTAGACCTCTGGTAACTGGCTCCCAGCTGCTCATAATCCTTGAATTTCCTTAGCGGGCCAAATCTAAAGCCTGAAAGGGTTCACAATTAAGAAAATGCTTTCTAAAATCTGGGTAAATTGTATTTAATTTAGATCTTATCTTAAACATGCCTCATTTTTTCTTAATGTTTATTTCTTTTCATTTAGTTACTGTTATTGCTTCTTTTTGATCCAAGCTCTTCTGTATAATGCTGGGTTCTAATTTTCCACTATGAGACATTCATGCAACCATCTTTATGATTTTTCTCACTTACCAGCGTTGGTGTTTCATAGATAGAAGTGCCTCATGTTTAGCTAAAAGCTTAAAGATAGGGCTTCTAAAATTACGCTAAACAAAATATAAGGTTAATTTCATTCATCCATATTTTGAGCAGGGGAGGTTTCTTGGAAATTTCCTTTTCCCATCAAAGGATGCATACTGGAAGCGTGACTGGGAGGGAGCACGCAGGCTGCAGGAATGTGTGGAAGCAGCAGGTCTGCTTGCCGGGCCTAGGAAGTGCGACATTCATTTAAATGTCCTGAGTAGCTTAGGAGTTACTATGGATTAGAGTACAGTTTGTTACAAACCCTACTAAGAATGTCCTGAGACTAATTTAATCCTGACTTCAGAAGGCAGCTTGGTGTCTGTCAGGCCCAAGGGGTGTGTGTCACTGTGGGCGTTGATTGCACAGAATCCACTGTAGTGACCCTGCCTGTGATAGACAGTTAGAGCTCTCATTCAAGGAGAAAGGAAGCCAAGAAACCCCTCTCTAGCAGTTTGGCTTCTGGACAAAGGGAAGTTCGCTGAGGTGGTGGCCAACGTCTGCTACGCATTTGAGTGCATTAGGATTTTTGTGTTTAGTGTTGTGTTGTAAGTTATTCATATATTACTTTTCAATCTAGGAAGGGAGTCTGGGTTTTGAAGTGATAGCACATTGTGGCATGCATTATTTCATGGGAAAATCAAAAGCGGGTAAGTATTTTGCCCTTAGGCTTTTTGTAGAACTCTAGTTTGGGATTGGGTGGGAAGTAGTGAGGAAAATTCGTATTTGTAGATGGAATAATTAGTCCTATTAACGTCATTGCATCATATTCTGTTCTTTAAGAGCGTGATCATTAATAGAACGACTTGAAATTGTTAAGAATCCTCCAGAAACATCCGAGTGCTTGTGTAATTAAAGCCCCCTGAAGTCTTAGCCTCTACTTTTGTAAGGGATTTTTTTCAGACACGTTATTTGATCATCATAGCAACCTCGTTGCCAGGAACAATTGGAAGATTCTGGTTCTTTTACAAAAGGGCTGACTAGAAGTTAGTAAAAAAAATAATTTGGAATTGTGTTTGAAGACTCTAGTACAGGAGCATAAACATCGTATAGGGAGCGCTAGTTGCTGTCTGAGCCTGAGGGCCAGAGTGTTGCTAGAGAAAGCTGTTCCTGGTTTTCTTCCTGCTTTTTGACTTATTAAAATATGTAATCTAAGGACAGTGTTATAGCACAGAGATTTCCTTTGGGAGATTCCCACTTTTCCGCCCTGATAATGCTCTTTAGCACAGACAAGACAGAACAGATAACTAGAGAGGGCAAGGTGAGCCGGAGACCAGCTTACAAATGTAAACATGCACCTTCTCTAGACTGAGCCCTGCTCTGGGCTCTCTTCTGAGGCTTGCCGTTTGCACATCAGCATTCTGCCTAATAACCGGGCTTAGATGATGACTAGCGCTTACGTGGAAGCAGTTTAGCCTTTTAGGTATAAAGCTGTTAAACATGGTCCGAGTATGATGTTTAACTTGTTTCAGACTGTATTCATGAGCCATGTGTCTTTTATGTTATTACCTTCACATAATTCAATTTAGTTTTGTTTTATACGTTTCTTTGATTTGATATATCATTTGCCATTGAGTTAGAGGGACTTTTAGTAGAGCAATCCGAGGACAGGGGGGCATTGATCACTTTACCGTCCTCTCAGTTTGAGAAGTTTTAACCCTCAGCCCTTGGCATTATTTACTAAGTGAATTGTGTTTTCCGTACATCTAAATAGTACATCTGATTTAACTTGTAGAAAATCCTAACTGGGAAGGGAGCCTTTCTCTGGATTGGTCTACCTGGGATGTGGATTCCGAACTTGCAAATACACTGTATGAAAGATGGAAGAAATTAAAAAATGGTGACGTCTGCAAGTATGTTTTCACCTCTCTTTGTTTAGCACTGGGGAGACATTGTGACATAATACTTTATTGAAATTTCAACACCGAATTTTTAATATCTAGCCTTTTATTTTGACAAATTTCAAACCTCAGAAGATTTGAAAAGTATAGTATGGTAAATATTCAAATATTCCCAATCAATCTAGACTCAGTAGTTGTTTACATTTTTACCACTTTTGCTTTTTTCTCTCTCTCTACGTCTGTATCTATGTGCACATACCTACATTTTCTTTTTGCTGAGTCATTTGAAAGTAAGCTGTAGACATCATGATACTTCAACCCTCAGTACTTTATTAGGAAAGACATTCTTTTCGAAGGAGAACGTTCTCCTCCATATAACTACACTGCCATTACATACCCAGCAAACTTAACACTGATGCAATTATGTGAGCTGATATACCGTCTAGATTCACATTTCCCTAGTTGACCCCAAAATATCCATTATAGCTGTCTTTTTCTTTTTCCTTTTTTTTTTTTAACATCTTTATTGGAGTATAATTGCTTTACAATGTTGTGTTAGTTTCTGCCGTAGAACAAAATGAATCAGCTATATGTATACATATATCCTCATATCCCCTCCCTCTTGCATCTCCCTCCCACCCTCCCTATCCCACCCCTCTAAGTGGTCACAGAGCACCGAGCTGATCTCCCTGTGCTATGCAGCTGCTTCCTACTAGATATCTGTTTTACCTTTGGTGGTGTATATATGTCCATGCCACTCTCTCATTTCGTCCCAGCTTACCCTTCTCCCTCCCCGTGTCCTCAAATCCATTCTCTTTGTCTGCATCTTTATTTCTGTCCCACCCCTGGGTTCTTCGGAATCTTTTTTATGTTTTTTAGATTCCATATATATGTGTTAGCATATGGTATTTGTTTTTCTCTTTCTGACTTACTTCACTCTGTAAGACAAACTCTAGGTCCATCCACCTCACTACAAATAACTCAATTTCATTTCTTTTTATGGCTGAGTCATATTCCATTGTATATATGTGCCACATCTTCTTTATCCATTCATCTGTCGATGGATACTCAGGTTGCTTCCATGTCCTGGCTATTGTAAATAGTGCTGCAATGAACATTGAGGTGCATGTGTCTTTTTGAATTATGGTTTTCTCAGGGTATATGCCCAGTAGTGGGATTGCTGGGTCATACGGTAGTTCTATTTTTAGTTTTTGAAGGAACCTCCATACTGTTCTCCATAGTGGCTGTATCAATTTACATTCCCACCAACAGTGCAAGAGGGTTCCCTTTTCTCCACACCCTCTCCAGCATTTCTTGATTGTAGATTTTTTGATGATGGCCATTCTGACTGGTGTGAGGTGATACCTCATTGTAGTTCTGATTTGCATTTCTCTAATGATTAGTGATGTTGAGCATCCTTTCATGTGTTTGTTGGCAATCTGTATATCTTCTTTGGAGAAATGTCTACTTAGGTCTTCTGTCCATTTTTGGATTGGGTTGTTTGTTTTTTTGATATTGAGCTGCATGAGCTGCTTATATATTTTGGAGATTAACCCTTTGTCAGTTGCTTTGTTTGCAAATATTTTCTCCCATTCTGAGGGATGTCTTTTGGTCTTGTTTATGGTTTCCTTTGCTGTACAAAAGCTTTTAAGTTTCATTAGGTCCCGTTTGTTTATTTTTGTTTTTATTTCCATTTCTCTAGGATGTGGGTCAAAAGGATCTAACTGTGATTTATGTCATAGAGTGTTCTGCCTATGTTTTCCTCTAAGAGTTTGATAGTTTCTGGCCTTACATTTAGGTCTTTAATCCATTTTGAGTTTATTCTTGTGTACGGTGTTAGGGAGTGTTCTAATTTCATTCTTTTACATGTAGCTGTCCAGTTTTCCCAGCACCACTTACTGAACAGGCTGTTTTTTCTCCATTGCATATTCTTGCCTCCTTTATCAAAGATAAGGTGACCATATGTGCGTGGGTTTATCTCTGGTCTTTCTATCCTGTTCCATTGACCTATACTTCTGTTTTTGTGCCCGTACCATACTGTCTTGATTACTGTAGCTTTGTAGTATAGTCTGAAGTCAGGGCACCTGATTCCTCCAGCTCTGTTTTTCTTTCTCAAGATTGCTTTAGCTCTTTGGGGCCTTTTGTGTTTCCATACGAACTGTGAAATTTTTTGTTCTAGTTCTGTGAAAAATGCCATTGGTAGTTTGATAGGGTTTGCATTGAATCTGTAGATTGCTTTGGGTAGTATAATCATTTTCACAGTGTTGATTCTTCCAATCCAGGAACATGGTATATCTCTCCATCTGTTTGTATCGGCTTTAATTTCTTTCATCAGTGTCTTATAGTTTTCTGCATACAGGTCTTTTGTCTCCTTAGGTAGGTTTATTCCTAGGTATTTTATTCTTTTTGTTGCAGAGGTAAATGGGAGTGTTTCCTTAATTTCTTTTTCATATTTTCCATCATTACTGTATAGGAATGCAAGAAATTTCTATGCACTAATTTTGTATCCTGCTACTTTACCAAATTCATTGAGTAGCTCTAGTAGTTTTCTGGTAGCATCTTTAGGATTCTGTAGTATAGTATTATGTCATCTGCAGACAGTGACAGTTTTACTTCTTCTTTTCAGATTTGGATTCCTTTTATTTCTTTTTTTTCTCTGATTGCTGTGGCTAAAACTTCCAATACTATGTTGAATAATAACGGTGAGAGTAGGCAACCTTGTCTTGTTCCTGATCTTAGAGGAAATGGTTTCAGTTTTTCACCACTGAGAACAATGTTGGTTGTGGGTTTGTCAAATATGGCCTTTATTATGTTGAAGTAGGTTCCCTCTATGCCTACTTTCTGTAGAGTTTTTTTTTTATCATAAATAGGTGTTGAATTTTGTCAAAAGCTTTTTCTGCATCTATTGAGATTATCATATAGTTTTTATCCTTCAGTTTCTTAATTTGGTGTATCTCATTGATTGATTTGCATATATTGAAGAATCCTTGCATTCCTGGGATAAACCCCACTTGATCATGGTGTATGATCCTTTTAATGTGCTGTTGGATTCTGTTTGCTAGTATTTTGTTGAGGGTTTTTGCATCTGTGTTCATCAGTGATACTGGCCTGTAGTTTTCTCTTTTTGTGGCATCTTTGTGTGGTTTCGGTATCAGGGTCATGGTGGCCTCGTAGAATGAGTTTGGGAGTGTTCCTCCCTCTGCTATATTTTGGAAAAGTTTGAGAAGGATAGGTGTTATTAGCTCTTCTCTAAATGTTTGATAGAATTCGCCTGTGAAGCCGTCTGGTCTTAGGCTTTTGTTTGTTGGAAGATTTTTAATCACAGTTTCAATTTCAGTGCTTGTGATTGGTCTGTTTATATTTTCTATTCCTTCCTGGTTCAGTCTCGGAAGGTTGTGCTTTTCTAAGAATTTGTCCATTTCTTCCAGGTTGTCCATTTTATTGGCATAGAGTTGCTTGTAGTAATCTCTCATGATCCTTTGTATTTCTGCAGAATCAGTTGTTACTTCTCTTTTTTCATTTCTAATTCTGTTTAATTGAATTTTCTCCCTTTTTTTCTTGATGAGTCTGGCTAATAATTGCTTATCAATTTTGTTTATCTTCTCAAAGCACCAGCTTTTAGTTTTATTGATCTTTACTATCATTTCCTTCATTTCTTTTTCATTTATTTCTGATCTGATCTTTATGATTTCTTTCCTTCTGCTGACTTTGGGTTTTTTTGGTTCTTTCTCTAATTGCTTTAGCTGTAAGTGTAGGTTGTTTGAGATTTTTCTTATTTCTTGAGGTAGGATTGTATTGCTATAAACTTCCCCCTTAGAACTGCTTTTGCTGCATCCCATAGGTTTTGGGTCATTGTGTTTTCACTGTCATTTGTTTCTAGGTATTTTTCTATTTCTCTTTGATTTCTTCAGTGATCTCTTGGTTATTTATTAGTGTATTGTTTAGCCTCCATGTGTTTGTATTTTTAACAGTTTTTGTCCTGTAATTGATATCTAGTTTCATAGTATTGTGGTCAGAAAAGATACTTGTTACACTTTAAATTTTCTTAGATTTACCAAGGCTTGATTTGTGACACAAGATATAATCTATCCTGGAGAATGTTCCATGAGCACTTGAGAAGAAAGTGTAGTATATATTTTTTGAATGGAATGTCCTATAAATATCAAGTCCATCTTGTTTAGTGTGTCATTTAAAGCTTGTGTTTCCTTATTTATTTTCATTGTGGATGATCTGTCCATTGGTGAAAGTGGGCTGTTAAGTCGCCTACTACGATTGTGTTACTGTTGATTTTCCCTTTTGTGGCTGTTAGCATTTGCCATATGTATTGAGGTGCTCCTATGTTGGGTGCATAAATATTTACAGTTGTTATATCTTTTTCTTGGATTGATCCCTTGATCACTATCTAGTGTCCTTCTTTGTCTCTTGTAATAGTCTTTATTTTAAAGTCTGTTTTGTCTGATACGAGAATTGCTACTCGAGCTTTCTTTTGCTTTCCATGTGCCTGGAATATCTTTTTCCAGCCCCTAACTTTCAGTCTTTATGTGTCCCTAGGTCTGAAGTGGGTGTCTTGTAGACAGCATATATACGGGTCTTGTTTTTGTATCCATTCAGCCAGTCTGTGTCTTTTGGTGGGAGCATTTAATCCATTTACATTTAAGGTAGTTATCGATATATATGTTCCTATTACCATTTTCTTAATTGTTTGTTATTGTAGGTCCTTTCCTTCTCTTGTGTTTCCTGCCTAGAGAAGTTCCTTTAGCATTTGTTGTAAAGCTGGTTTGGTGGTGCTGAACTCTCTTAGCTTTTGCTTGTCTGTAAAGGTTTTAATTTCTCCGTCCAATCTGAGTGAGATCCTTGTTGAGTAGAGTAATCTTGGTTGTAGGTTTTTTCCTTTCATCACTTTAGGTATGTGCTGACACCCCCAACTGGCTTGCAGAGTTTCTGCTGAAAGATCAGCTGTTAACCTTATGGGGATTCTTAGACCCTTTCTTTTTCTCTTCTTCTTCTGGGACCCCTGCAATTCGAATGTTAGTGCATTTAATGTTGTCGAGGAGGTCTCTGAGACTGTCCTCAATACTTTTCTTTCTTTTTTCTTTATTCTGCTCTGCGGTAGTTATTTCCACTATTTTATCTTCCAGGTCACTTATCCATTCTTCTGCCTCCGTTATTCTGCTATTGATTCCTTCTAGAGTATTTTTAATTTCATTTATTGTGTTGTTCATCATTGTTTGCTCTTTAGTTCTTCTAGGTCCTTGTTAAATGTTTCTTGTATTTTCTCCATTCTGTTTCCAAGATTTTGGATCATCTTCACTATCATTATTCTGAATTCTTTTTCAGGTAGATTGCCTATTTCCTCTTCACTTGTTTGGTCTGGTGGGTTTTTACCTTGCTCCTTCATCTGCTGCATATTTCTCTGTCTTCTTATTTTGTTTAACTTACTGTGTTTGGGGTCTCCTTTTTGCAGGCTGCAGGTTTGTAGTTCCCATTGTTTCTGGTGTCTGCCCCCAGTGGGTGAGGTTGGTTCAGTGGGTTGTGTAGACTTCCTGGTGGAGGGGACTGGTGCCTGTGTTCTGGTGGGTGGGGCTGGATCTTGTCTTTCTGGTGGGCAGGACTGCGTCTGGTGGTGTATTTTGGCGTGTCTGTGAACTTAGTATGATTTTAGGCAGCCTCTCTGTGTTCCTATCTTACTAGTTGTTGACATGGGGCATCCAGCACTGGAGCTTGCTGGCCATTAGGTGGAGCTGGGTCTTAGCACTGAGACGGAGATCTCTGGGAGAGCTCATGCCAATTGATATTACATGGGTCCAGGAGGTCTCTGGTGGTCCAGTGTCCTGAACTTGGCTCTCCCACCTCAGAGGCTCAGGCTTGACACCAGGGCAGAGCACCAAGACCCTGTCAGCCACATGGCTCAGAAGAAAAGGGAGAAAAAAGAAAGAAAAGAATAAATAAATAATTTTAAAAATTATTAAAATAAAAAATAAAAATAATAAAAAGTAGAGAATAACCAAACCAATAAACAAATCCCCCAGTGTTAACAAGTGCTAAAAACTATAGTAAGATAAGCATAAAAATCAGAAACAAATCAGCTGCAGACTGCCAACCCCAACTCTACAATTGCTCGCGAAGTCCACTGCCTCAACTTTGGGATGATTCGTTGTCTATTCAGGTGTTCCACAGATGCAGGGTACATCAAGTTGATTGGGGGGATTTAATCCGCTGCTCCTGAGGCTGCTGGGAGAGATTTCCCTTTCTCTTCTTTGTTTGCACAACTCCTGGGGTTCAGCTTTGGTTTTGGCCCCGCCCCTGCTTATAGGTCACCCTCAGGCATCTGTTCCTGCCCAGACAGGATGGGGATAAAGCAGCGGCTGATTAGGGGGCTCTTGCTCATTCAGGCCGGGGGTGGGGAGGGAGGAGTATAGTAGTTATACTTCGAACATGGGATGAGCCTGCGGTGGTACAGGCTGACGTGACGTTGCAACAGCCTGAGGCGTACTGTGTGTTCTCCCAGGGAACTTAACTCTGGATCACGGAACCCTGGCAGTGGCGGGCTTCACAGGCTCCTGGCGGGGTGTGGATAGTGACCTGCACTTGCACACAGAATTTTTTGTGGCAGCAGCAGCAGTGTTAGCGGTTCATGCCCATCTCTAGGATCCGAGCTGATAGCCACGGCTCACGCCCGTCTCTGGAGCTCGTTTAGGCGGTTACCTGAATCTCCTCTCCTCACGCACCCCCAAAACAATGGTCTCTTGCCTCTGAGGCAGGTCCAGACTTTTTCCTGGACTCCCTCCCGGCTACTTGTGGCACAGTAGCCCCCTTCAGGCTGTGTTCACGCAGCCAACCTCAGTCCTCTCCCTGGGATCTGACCGAAGCCGGAGCCTCAGCTCCCAGCCCCCATGTGCCCCGGCGGGTGAGCAGACAAGCGTCTCGAGCTGGTGAGTGCTGGTTGGTACCGATCCTCTGTGTGGGAATCTCTCCACTTTGCCCTCTGCACCCCTGTTGCTGCGCTCCCCTCCATGGCTCTGAAGCTTCCCCCCTGCCCACACCCCATCTCCGCCAGTGAAGGGGCTTCCTAGTGTGTGGAAACCTTTCCTCCTTCACAGCTCCCTCCCACTGGTGCAGGTCCCGTCCCTATTCTTTTGTCTCTGTTTTTTTTCTTTCTTCTTTTGCCCTACCCAGGTACGTGGGGAGTTTCTTGCCTTTTGGGAGGTCTGAGGTCTTCTGCCAGCGTTCAGTAGGTGTTCTGTAGGAGCAGTTCCACGTGTAGATGTATTTCTGATGTATTTGTGGGGAGGAAGGTGATCTCCACGTCCTACTCCTCTGCCATCTTGAAGGTCCCTCCTCTCTTTTTCCTTTTTTAAAATCCAGAGTCCATTCAAGGACCATGCATTGCATTTGGTTGTCATGTTTCCTTAATTTTCTTCAGACTAGTGTCTGCACTTTTTTTCGTCTTTCATAGTGTCAGTGTTTTAAAGCGTCCTAGCCAGTTGTCTTACAGAACATTCAACACGTTGGATTTTTTTGGGGTTGCTTCTTCAAGTTTACATTCCTGTTAAGCATTTCGGGGAAGAGTACTAATTACTTGGTCGGTGTTGTGTCCTTATCATTTCATCACCTGAGGGAGGGACATAAATGTCAGTTTGTCCCATTATTGACATTGCTCAGTTGAATCATTTGACTCTCTCCATTGTAGATAGTTTTCCTTTTGCAATTAATACATAATATATGCTATGATAATTCAAGACCATGTACATTTCCTGTTCCCTAAGAATGTTTCACCCCATGATTTTGGCATCCATTGATAATCCTTGCCTGGGATCAGTTGTTGAATTGATGGCTGCAAAAATGGTGATGTTTCTAATTATTTTGTTCATTCTACACTCTTTGAGCATCACTATGGATTCTTTGGTCCTTACCACCATTATTATTTTTGATGCTGACTTGTCCCAGATTTGCCTGATGGGAGCGCTGTGTGCCAGTCATTCTTTGAGCACTTCCTTGCTCTCTAGTAAAACAGGACCTTCCAGGATCATCTTGTAGTTTGTGTCACCCAGACCCCAAATAAATCATTTTTTTCCAAGATCCCCTTGTTCCTCTTAGTGGAAGTGATTTCCTTTTTTTCTGTCAAAATTATTTTTCATAATTTCTTTGTTTACGAATTACACAGGAGGAACGTTTTAGGCATGACTCGGTTTGCCCACTCGAAGAAATCCAAGGAGTCCGAACCCTTTGCTCTCTTCCTGCCTCGCTTGATCCCGGAGGCTGGCCTCGTGATAAACTTCAGTGCCACCGCCCTGAGGAACAGCGTGGTGAGAGTCCTGCGTCTTTTCATCTCTTCATTTCACCCCAGCTCTTGGGTTTTTATGTTATCAGAGTATCGCCACCTTGAGATACTGTTTTAGAACCAAAATTAGTTGAAATTAAGTGACACACATATGCCATTCAGTGCTTTTAGGAGGGAGGTGTCAGAAGAACAAAGTAAGGGGTAAAACTCGTGAACAGACTGAAAGTGCTTAAAACAAACACGTTTTATGAAGTCTGTATTCAGTTCAGAATCTATCAGCTAAGAAAGTATTCAACTGCAAAAACAGAGAAAATCCTGACTAACACGGGCTTCAGTAGGAGTGAGTGAGTTTGAAGTTCAGAGGGGAGAGGAATTGACTGGGTGATCGTTCGTGGTTAGATGCAGGTGATGCACTTTTGCAGGGGCATCTCAGGAGTGGTCTGCCTTCCCTGGGGTCTGACTCTCTTCTCTGCACGTCTAGGTGAAGTACTTTGTGGTGAAGAACCCTTCCTCATGGCCAGTCTCCCTGCAGCTCCTGCCTGTCTCCTTGTACCCGAAGCCCGAGGCTGCCGCGCGCCTGCTGCACAAATGGTAATGCCCAGCTGGTGAAGACCTCTCACGGGGTGTTGGGAGGTCCTGTTAAGACCCAGAATTATTTAACGTCCTTTGCGTTTTCCCTGGGACCTGTGTGTGGATGTGCATGGGATCAGTCTGTGACCACAGCCCCCGTCTCCTCAGTGCAGACCCCTGAGGACAATTCCCAGTTCTGGGTACTGTGTGGGTCTTGAATGTTACCATGTCAGGTCCAGGGCCCAGCAGAATATTCTTTTCTTGTCAGGGAAACTTTACAATCATGATTTTTCACATGTACTCCTAAAATTTAGAATTGAAATCACAGTGACCTCTGGGCAACACAAGAAATGAGTTTAGCGGTTCAGTGTGTTTTAACCTCGTGTTGTTATACAAAATATGATCATAGTTCACGTCCGTTACATCTTATTTTTGCACAGTAGTCACAGTTTCACTTAGCATGTTTCCTCTTCTGGCTCATTCCTGGGTCTCAGCTTCAGGATTCCTGATGTTTTGGACCACATGAGTCTCTGTTTGGGGTGGGGGTAGGGGTGTTCTGTGCTTTGAAGGATGTTTAGCAGCATTCCTGGCTCCCACCCAGTAGATGCCAGTGGGACCTCCCCAGCTGCAGCAACCAAAAGTGTCTCTAGATGTGGCCAGATGTCCACTGGGAGATAGAACGGTCCATGGCTGAGAGTCACTTCCTATCAGGTTCCATAGCTGTGAACCATTTGGGGAAAAAAAATTGCTTCATGTTGGGAGCTTCTGTCACCATATGATTCTTTACATTCTGTGCTGCCAACATGATTCATTCAACAATATTTATTGAGCTCTTACAACATGCCTGGTACAGCGTGGGGGGCTGGGACACAGGAGTGACAGGTTGGGGTGAATTGTGTCTGTGTGCAAATAAATGCATATATATCTATATGCACACGTATGTTCTTCTTTCTTTCTTGGTGATCTGAATGCTATTTTAAACATTTTTTTCTTTATAGGTTTGGCACCGATGTGCAGATGATTAATTTCACAACGAGTGAATTCCAGCTCACCAAAGCTTGCCCTTACCGGGTAGGATGTCATCTTTAAACAGAAAAAAGAATGCTGACCAACTAGACACGTAGCATATGGGCCTCACTAATTTGTGTTTCAAGTGTCTTTATGTAATATATGTGGCTGTCTATTTTTATATTCTAGGAGTTAAGTATACATAGCAGCTTTTTCCAATTAACTAATGCAGCAGGAGCCCATGGTTCATGTGAGCCTGTAAATCATTTTAATTTGATCATTTAGATTCATGTGAGTGAGGAAATAACAATTGAATCAGAGCTATGTAGAAAACCATAAAACCCGAGATCCCAGAATTTATAATTGTCTTAAGATTCCTTGGCCCCATCATATTCTTTTAAGGGCAAGATAAGGTAAAAACAAATACATTAAAAAGAAATCTTCTCTTACTAAACTGGCTTCATGTTTTTAGCAGATCACCCAGTTTCTGTGATAGTCACCTGCTCTATAAAAAAGGATTTCTGGGAGTCTTGAGCCTGTGGGCCCTCATGAGGTCTCGCATAAATTATACCCAGGGAGGGAGTAAACATGTCACGTGGCGAGGACATTGCTTAACTGGGAACTGGCAGCCTGCTTTCTGAGTTTTCACACAGTCGTTCTGTGCGTCACTGGTATTCTGTGCTTGAGATCAATTAAAAATGAAGCATCTCTTAAAAAAATACACAGACACACATATGCATGTCACTGTGGTTCTAATACACACATGTATTCAAATGCCTTGGGTATTTTCTTCTTTCTCTACCCATAACTCTCCAAAGATACACTGTTGGCTGTAGATTAACTTGAAAGAGGGGGGCCACAGATAGCCTCCAACTGTGAGTTAGAACGAATTAAAGCAAGCTTTTAAGTGGATTTTTAACAGAGAGTTATTTATAGTAAGAAACACGCAAGCAGTAACGTTCCTTTCCCTTTGTCAGTGGTCTAGGCAGCAGGGTCTTGTGTTAGCAAGCCTGTCCTGCCCTGTCCCTCTCATTCTTCTCTTCACCAGGCAGTCTCCCAGGACTGTTGGGAGGTAAATGAGTCCAAAATGCTGACAGGTATTTTGTCCCACGACTATTTAACCACATGTAACTTGAAATTCCAAAAATAATGCCAGTTTCTTTTACATGTCAGTGTTCTATTCAGATTTAAACAAATGGTGGAACTCGCAAAAAGTTTTTAATCTGTGATTGAAGATTTCCCCCGAGAATGTTATACCTTTTGTGACAAAGGAGATAGCACTATTGTTAATTTATTACATTGACAAAAAGAATAGTCAGTATCAATGTCTCTGAGACACTACAAATTTAACTTAAAATTCTTATTAGAATTCTTTGCCATATAAGAAAGGCCTACATTTTTGTTGGTTTATTTTTAGAAATGCGGTTCCTTTGGTTAAGAGCATGTGGAATTAGACATTCAAAGTTCCAAATCCAGGCTCCTCCATGTAGTCCTGGGTAAATTATTTGACCTCTCCAGGTCTTCTCCTTCTCACTCATAATAATGTTTGAAGATTCCATAGGTTTATAGAATGCTTAGCATTTTATATACCTAATTATATTCCAGAGCCTGGCATATAAGAACTATTTTATTTAATAATTGGTGCTGTTGTTGTTATGCTTTTAATACCCTAAATCGGCAGCTTTTTTTCAACATTCATATGTGTATAATGAAGTTGTAATGAATTATAAACTTCATGAAGTTTATAATTTTAATGAAAATGAATCAAATACCATCACTATTTCTTCTTTCAGATAGTATGGGAAATGCGAGCAATAACTGAGGAATAAAACAAATTTAAAAACTAAAAATATAGAAAAGAGAAATATTATGTAGACTACATGGTTACAGTTCTAAAGAATTAATAAATTATTTTTAGTGAGAAGGAGCTAGAGAAAACATTGGAAAGAGGGAAAGTCTACCACAATGATGAAGAACTAAATCTTTTTTTTTTTTTTTTTTTGCGGTATGCGGGCCTCTCACTGTTGTGGCCTTTCCCGTTGCGGAGCACAGGCTCCAGACACGCCGGCTCAGCGGCCATGGCTCACGGGCCCAGCCGCTCCGCGGCATGTGGGATCCTCCCGGACCGGGGCACGAACCCATGTCCCCTGCATCGGCAGGTGGACTCTCAACCACTGCACCACCAGGGAAGCCCAAAGAACTAAATCTTGAATATTAACTTTAGAACACAAAATTTATTCAGAGAAAGTAAGAAATCTTGGGGAGAATAAAGGAGGATATGAATAAATAAAGATCTTTCTCCTAAATGGAGAAACTAAATAAAGATGGTTTCTTTATAAACTTAAAGAGAATTTAGGGTTGTTCAGCAGTGGACATGTGGTTTGGTCAGATCCCTGTAGCATTCAAGCAGAGGCTATTGCTCTGTTTTCTCAGTAATGTTTTACATCCAAAGCATCTTTGCATCAAAGGCCTGTAGCCCCAGCTCCCATCTGGTCCAGGCGGCAAGTCCCCTTTTCAGCCTCCATGTCAGGTTGTCCTGCAACCTCTGCCTCTGCTTCTCAGCCGGGCTCAGGAACTTTTGATGGGTGTGAACTCTCGCAGTAAACAAGTTCCACAGGTTGATTTGGGTGGTCAGATCCAGACGTTAAAGAAACAGCAGTCATGTTTATGCATGTTAATGAAGATGGAATCTTGTTCTGTAGGAGTTAATTGCATTTATTAATGACTTGCAGGGTGTGCATTCTGAGGAATCCAGGTTTGGCATCCTCCACTTACATTTGCAACCTTTGGAAAGGAAAAGGGTTGGTGTAGTTTTCACGCCAGCTGACTATGGAAAAGTCACCTCCCTCATCCTAATCCGGTAGGTGTGTCCCTTTCTCATTAGCTGGCTGACTCTCTTTCTCTCAAGAATCTCTTTAGCTAAGAGGTGACGTTGACTCACTCAGGCCCTCAGTGATGAGCTGTGTCCAAGGGTAGGAGAGGCAGTGGCTGAGGAGAGCGGCTCCCTGAGGCTCTGCACTTAGGCCTCCTGTGTGTCAGGTTCCTGCCTTGTACCGTGGGGAGCGTGTACCCACCTCGCCAAGGGCGGTGGTACCCTTCCCATGGCATCTCAAACACCGTCACAGAGGGCAGAGCATACACGTGAACACACACACACACACACATCCACACTTACTTTTCTGTCCTCAGCTCAGAAGAATAATTGAAACGCTGCCATATATGTTTTCATTCCGTGGTGTTTGGATTTACACTGTTCTCATGTCTCTCTTGCTTCTGGAATTCTCTGTAGCCCCAAAGGGCAATGGAAAAAGTCCTTAGTTGAGCCCACTGGCTTGTTTTACTTCTTTTCCTTCCTTCTAAATGAACAATTATTGCCAGCTGATTTAAGCAGCTAAATGTTTTTCATTCTGAATTTTTTTTTTCCTCTTTACTCTTTATTGAGTCTTCTTTCAAAAATTTACAGTAACTACAGATCTCTGTTGAAGCTCTCTCTGCATTGGTGAGACTTCTAACACAAATTTAATTTTTTCATTAATGACGTTTTAGTTATATATATCTTTTAAGCTTTTCCAGTGTCATTCCAGTTGGCAAAAGACTTTCTTATTCAGGACTTCCTTTAATCTATGAGTTTGTTCTTCTGCAAGTGAGTGCTGCTAAAAAGAAAATGCACTAAGATAAAGTTCTTAAAAGAGTCTGCTTGTTCATTGTAAAACAACTATACACGCCCCCTGCCAAAAAAAGAAGTACCCATAAAGCACTCATACGGCATCCATGGTTGTCTCCCAGAAAAATACGTTGGCGACTGTTTGAATTATAAGCTGAATTAGCCACTCTTTTTCATGGAACACCATTTTTACTTGAAAGGATGATTAGCAGAAAAACTGTGGTTGTTTCAGATTCAGGTACTTGGCAGACGTTTTCCTGAAAATGAACAAAGTGAGCCTGTCACTTCAAGGGTAGTGTTTGTTGCCAATGATAAAATTCGAGCATTCGCATGAAAAGTAGAGTTTTGGAAAACTTGTATCTGCCACTGTGAGCTTCACAGCTTCTCAATACTTAAAGTACTTTTCTATTAACCATAGTGAGGATATTAACAAATGTGATTTTTATAAGTATAATGAAATTTGTCAGCATTGGGAAGATCTACATATCACAGTGAACAGTCTTTTCCAAATAACTAATTATGATAATCCAAAAATCATCCCTGGTAAAATGTGCAAGATAGACCACTGGATTTTAATGTAACAAACTATGAAAATTCATTAATATAGTTTCAGATTTCACATCATAAAGAACCTTCAGGAGACTTCACTTGTTGAATATTGGTGTTATATCAAAGATTTGCCACATAGATAACTAAGCACAGGGAACTGTATTCAGTACTCTGTGATGACCTATATGGGAATAGAATCTAAAAAAGAGTGGATATATGTATATGTATAAGTGATTCACTTTATTGTACAGCAGAAACTAACACAAGATTGTAAATCATCTATACTCCAATAAAAAATTAAATTAAAAGAAGAGGCTGTTTTGTTAAGCATTTTAAGTAATGCTGACTAGAACAAACTAATAACTAATGTTCTAGTAAGCATTTTAGTGCTCTGCTGACAACGTGTGTCCTTTTAAACCCATTCTCTGTTGAAGAACTAAGGTCATGGGAAGTGTAGAGATAAGCTTTACCTCATCCCAGCTTAAGCTGTGCCAGGCTTGAAAAGAAAGTCTCAGTTTTTTATAGTAGTTAATTTAGTTTTGGTGGTTTCTGTATTGAGAGACACCATATTTTTCTGTAAACAGTATCACTCATCTAACATCACTTTAAAGGCTTTTAAGTGGTTCAATAAAGGTTTTAATCCTTTAGATGAAGGTGTAAAGATATCTCAGTGTATTTTGCTTCTAGGGTTTACCTTAATGGCAACTGACTTTCAGTGCAGTCTGCATCATTTAAACATCATTTCCACTGAACTTTCCATCCTAGGAATCCTGATTTCAGTTAATGAAAAGGGAAAAGCTAGTCTGAATTACTATTTGACTGATAAGAACTTGAGTAGATACATGCTATTTGTAGGATGCTATTTTAAATCTTTGGTTCAAAAGGTAGGATAGGATTTCATTTCTAGAATTATCCCTAAGGAAGAATTTCTTACAGTCACAATTACTATGAAAACTCCTTAATTCACCCTATAAACAATTTTTATCAATTTGTCTAAATTTGTTAAAGTTTCTTTGTGGCCCCCCAGTTTATTCCTTCACTTTTTGTCTCTTGGAGGTCTGATCACCACCCTGGTGCCCGGTTAGAAAAATATAGGTTTCCATTCTTGGGTGGAAACTGGAGAGCGATCATGGTCATTTGCTGGTTCTTGCCCACTCAGCTTGCCTTGACGCCGCCGGGCTTGGCAGTTTCTGTGCTCTGAGATGGCGGGAGATGCCACACTATTTCAACTGAGTTTTTTCTCAAAACTTAAAAAATTTTGTTTTTCAATTCAAGTTCATTGTATCTTGTGACACCTCGATTGCAGTGCATTTTTATTTGCATCTCCTTTCTCTGTAGGAATAACTTGACTTTTATCGACATGATTGGCGTGGAAGGATTTGGAGCAAGAGAGCTACTGAAGGTGGGCGGGAGACTTCCTGGCACTGGAGGTTCACTGCGCTTTAAGGTGCCCGAGTCCACACTGATGGGCTGCCGGAGACGTGAGTCCCTGCGTGTGGTCCGTGTGTGTGGTCTGTGTGTGTGGCACTCGGACAGGACAGGCTTGGTGCCAAAGCCAAGAGCAAAAGGAGATATGAGAAGATTCTTTTAAAAATTTACAGTAAATTCATTGTATTGATGCTAATAATGAAATCAGGCAAACATTTGAGCATATGTAGGCTGGTACCACTTGATTAGAAACAATAGCCTTAGATATTTAATCCAACTTAAATAATAGGTATGGGGGGGAAAGTATAATGTTAAGTTACCAGTAGAGTGTCAAATATTTAAGATAAATAGTGTGAAACTGTTAATTTGGTTATCAGTTACCTAATCCTAAAAAAATCACACCAAAATGATAAGTAGAGAGAAGGCGGAAGGTGAACTAACCACCCTTTTGCAGTAATGGAAATGTTCTACGTCTGTGTTGTCCAGTACGGCAGACACTCGCTACATGTGGCTAATGAGTGCTTAAAATATAGCTCGTGTGACTGAAAAACTCAATTTTTAAATTTATTTAATTTAAATTTAATTTAAATTTAAGTAGCCATATGTGTCTAGTGGCTACTGTATCAGACAGTGCAGATTTAGAAATTTGTTTAAGTGTTCCATTAGAAAATTCTAAGTTTTACATGTATTTAAATTAAATGCTTCTAAACTATTTATATTAGTTCCAAGAGCTTCCTTAAGAACTAAGCCAAAAGTAAAACAATAGATGTAGAATGTTTTTGGTAAATTCTGTCTTGTTTTCCTGTTATTATTTTTAATTTCAGGAACACACTGAAAGCATTTTAGTGTAACAGTATGTTTCCTGTGGAGAAAACTGATTGGTGAAACCATTGGATAATTTGTAGAGCTATTTTAGTGCCTGATTGTAAATTTTTTTGTTTTAGAAAACTATGCTAAATGAGCACTGAGTTTGAAAAGACTGGCCATTTTGCATTCAAAATCTTCATCAAAGTGTTCATTTTTTTTCATTCATTCATTCACTCATTCATTCAATAGTTTAGAGTTGCCTTGAAAGTTAGAGTTATGGAGGAGTATAAACCGTAGAACCAGATAAAATGTTAGTCCTAATATGGAATAAATTGTGGGTTATAAATTTATAGGAATATTTTAAAAATCGATACTTCTTCCTTTTTTAAACTCCCAGCATGAAATGTGCTCTCATTATTTGCAAGGATTTAACTATTTACTACCTCTTAATGTAATGGGAGTGTGAACTGTGTTTCTAGTGTCCATGATGGTTTTACACAGAAGCACACACACCCTCCAAACTGGTCCTGTTGGGTGTGAATGAGGCTCCCGGGGCACAGGGTGCATGGTGGCTCGTGGTAAATCTAAACTATTAAGCTTCTGAGAAGAATAAACTTCACCTTAACCTTTAATAAGTAAAAGAACAAAGAAGAGATTTGGGTTACTTTGGGTACGTAGGCAGATCACTTAACTTAAGAAAAACCTTGACTAGTTAAGTATGTTTATCATATTCTGGTAGTAGAATCTAGAACCGTTCTAGAATTTAGCTAGGAATCATACTTTGAGCTTGTATTGAATTTTTTTTTTACATTTTAATCATGTAGATCATGGTTTGTGGATTCAGTAAATGTTGATTCAGTAAATTATTTTAAATAAATTTTTCAGTTCATCTGTACTAAATATCACTTTTCATCCTCACTAGAACTGAAAGACAGCAAGCAAATTTTATCAATTACAAAGAACTTTAAGGTTGAGAATATCGGACCACTTCCTATAACTGTGACATCTCTGAAAATTAATGGGTATAATTGCCAAGGTTATGGATTTGAAGTTCTAGACTGTCAGCAGTTTTCCTTGGACCCCAACACATCCCGGGACATCAGCATTGTGTGAGCACTGGACTTTAACCTCATTTCAGTTTGGGGTCACATTTACTATATTGTGGGGAAAAACTTTTTTTCATTGGTAAGACGTCTTGAGTTGTTTTCATGTTAGTATTTATCTTGCAGAAGTAAGAAATTCTGCTGCCATTATGATTATTCTGTTTTGTGCCTAAAATTAAAACCATCAAAGTTCGTAAAGATGCCTCTTGCTGTCAGGTTTACTCCAGACTTCACCTCTTCCTGGGTCATCCGCGAGCTGACTCTGGCCACCGCGGCAGACCTGGAGTTTCGCTTCACTCTCAACGTAACCCTCCCTCATCACCTGCTGCCTCTGTGTGCGGACGTGGTTCCGGGACCCAGCTGGGAGGAGTCGTTTTGGAGGCTCACTGTCTTCTTTGTCAGGTAAGCTGCCACCTTCTCCACTGTTCCTCCCTCACTGAGTGGAGACGCCATCCAGCCAAGTTGCATGGAAATGTATATTGCCCGGTGGGATCGAAGCATATGAATTGAGTGGAATTTTGACATTCGTGAAGTAGACAAAGTAGTTCCTGGTATGCTTGAAGAGAATTTACTATTCTCTAAACTAACTGTAGGAGAGTCATAGGACCTAGGAGTGTAATGGACAGTTGTGTTCCATATATGTTCATTGGCCATCCCGGTGGAAGATGTGAATGTTATACGTAACATTTAGGATATATGAACATCATCTGTGACATAGGATGTGTTATTAGCTCAGTGCAACGGCAGTTTGAGATTAGAAGACTAGAATGACCCTTTAAAATGTGATTTTATCCTGGAAATGTCTTTAAAAATTGAACTGGTATGTCAGAATTATAAATATTCACATTTTCAGAAACAGTTTTTTTGAATCTTTAAGAGATGTCAGAAATTATGGAGTCATTCCATATCCATAAGATACGGAATCTTAATAGCATTTCTTTAGACTTTTCCCATCGATTGATTCACCGCTCTTCTGTAGAGCTAGTCTTTTTTTTTTTTTTTTTTTTATTGGCATATAGTTGATTTACAATGTTGTGTTAGTGAGCTAGTCTTTTTAATGCCAGTGACAACCGGGCAGTAATGAACCCCGTTGCTTTCGTCCTCAGTTTGTCCCTGTTGGGTGTGATTTTAATAGCCTTCCAACAAGCACAGTACATTCTGATGGAGTTCGTGAAAACGAGACAGAGGCAGAATGCCAGCTCCTCTTCACAGCAAAGCAATAGTCCGATGGATGTAATCAGCTCCCATTCTCACAAGTAAGAGTTCTTGTAGTGTGGGGAGAGGGTTCTCACCTTTGGTATGACTCATTTCTGATTTTATTTTAAGGTCATATACATTTTGGTTCCAAATTTGTTTCAGTACCATTTTCTTTAAGTCGCTGTTGTGACAGCTACACCATTTCTTTCATTATAAGATAGACTTCACGTAAGGACTTAGTTTATTAAATTCCCGGAGCTTTCGGAGCACGAAAGGTGAGAGCTCCTTGGTGTACCCCAGACTGCTCCCTCTTTCTCATGGAGTTAGAAGCAGAGAGGGAGAGGTTTACTTGGTTTGCCTTTATGTTAAATGTTTTTCTTCTTAAATCCAGAAGCAATTGCAAGAACTTTCTCGATACCTACAGCCCCTCTGATAAAGGTCGAGGGAAAAGCTGTCTTCCGGTAAACCCCCCGCAGAGCAGGATCCAGAACGCGACGAAGAGGAGCCCGGCCACCTACAGCCATTCGCAGAAAAAGCACAAGTGCTCGGTCTATTATGGGAAACACAAAGCCAGTGCAGCCGTCGCCGGCAGTGCCAGCGCCCCTGCAGAGGACAAGCAGGCCTCGGCCCCAGGCGGCTCCCTGGCTGCTGCTAAAGAGGACGCCTGCCCTGCCGGGATGGGCGAGACCTGGGTGGGCCTCAAGTACACAGGTGGCCTAAACGTCAACCTGCAGAAGAATCTAACTCTTCCCCAAAACTTACTGAGTAAAGAAGAAAACACACTGAAAAACGCAATTGCTGTCAGTAATACTTCTTCCGAGTGTCATGTGAAGGAGGGAGTACAGACATGTATGTTTCCTAAGGAAACGGACCTTCAGATTTCAGAAAACATAGCCGAGCTCAAGGAGCGAGAGGTCTGTCCTCTGAAGACCCCTAAGAAACTACCTGAAAATCACTTGCCGAGAAATTCACCTCAGTGCCAGTCAGCCTTGCCAGAAATTTCCAGGAAAAATAATGGTAATTTTTCCATCCTCCTTGGTGACTCTTCTCTCTTGTTTGTCTCCAGTCTGTTCTTAGTGGAATTTGTTCTCATCTATGACTTTAGTTTGAACTGTGGCCGCTGAATTTTTAGTTCACACACAAAGTTTTATTAGCAAAGGTCTAAATGTTGAAATACCATTTCTAAGAAGGAAAGTTTAGGACGGGACACCAAGTTTTTAGAGCATCGTGGTTAAGAAGTTTACTTTTTTCAGTCCATTCATTAGAATGATGCGAATATCATATTGTATTGTTGGAATTTATGGACACCTCTTCCGAAGTTTTTTTTTTTTTTTTTGCGGTATGTGGGCCTCTCACTGCTGTGGCCTCTCCCATCGCGGAGCACAGGCTCCGGACGCGCAGGCTCAGCGGCCATGGCTCACAGGCCCAGCCGCTCCGCGGCATCTGGGATCTTCCCGGACCGGGGCACGAACCCGCGTCCCCTGCATCGGCAGGCGGACTCTCAACCACTGCGCCACCAAGGAAGCCCCCGAAGTATCTTTTATCTTGGCTTTTCAGACTGTTTGCAGAAATCAATCAGTCTATGACATGTTTCTGATGGAACAAAACTTAACAACTCTCTGTATATAACAGCTGCCACCATTGCATGCTCCTTCTCCCTGGTTCTTCTCTGGTCGTGCTCCTTGGTTAAAAGAAGGTAGATGTTCTCTCGCAGCAAACGCAGTTAATAAAAATGCAAGCAAAACTAGACTAGGAAGCCTACCTACACATACATTTGTCATTAAATCTTTAACTGATCCCTCTGGCTTCTGGCATAAGAGCCTGTGCTTATTTTTGTGTGTTTATCCTGATCATTTCGATAAGCACATTTCCACTCCCATTAAGAGTCAGCTTTTTGACACTTTTTAATCTGGAAGAATCAGTTACCTTTGATCTTATTTGAAACATCTAAATATAAATAACATCATATTTTTCACTCCTTGGTATTGTAGAGAAGATTGTATTAATAGATTGGCTGATTCTAATGAGCTTGATGCATTTAGTAGGGAAAATACCAACCTGAATTTTAAATGTTCCATCAAAGGACGTTTCTAATTCAAAAGGAAGGCAGGGTCCTCTGAGTAGAACATGGTTTGGGCAATTTGTGCATCACTCCCAGTGCCCCTTGTTCCACCCTGTTGGTGCCATTTCCCTGGCAGCAGTGCGCGCGCTTGAAGAGGACTCCTGTTTGCAGGGCCAGCTATCCCCACGGCCTCTCCCCCAGTGTGTGAGTGCGCCCCCTGGATGAAGCCTCTACCAGATCTCCATGAAGTCGCAGCATTCCTTGTCTGAGGGTGTTGATGGCGGGGCAGAGGGGTGTCTGTTCATCCATTTCTGTCCTGACACTGTCTAGGGCCCAGACGACAAAACTCTTGTGAAAGGGTGAAATTATGGAGTGAGTCTAGCTGGGTTTTTCTCTTGTTTCATGTGTCATTTAGGCCTGAGGACAGTATTTGACATAGGCTGACTTTACACAAACTTCAAGTCAGACTTGTTTGAGGGACTTGCTCCTCCAGAAGTGCGTCTTCTGTGGTCCAGGGCATCCATCAGACATCTGGGTAGATGTGCCTGCAGAACGCAAGGGCTGTGGCCTTGTGGGCGGGTGGATGGGAAGGCCTTCTGCTGCATCAGAGCTCTTTGAAGGGCGTGGGCCAGCCATGTAATGCCAGGGGGGGTCAGAGGATTCGACTTGGTGCTCCTGGATACTCTTGTCCAGTACATGCTGTTTAATGCCCGTAGTTGAGCCTGGATGACCATATAGTATCTAATAACACTTCAGCAAGTGTGAGTAAATTTAACAAGGGAACCCACAAACATAGGGTTTGCTTGTATCATTGTAGATGGCAAACCCGCCCCGAACCTTTCCTGCCTGTACAGATGACTGGTATGCTTATGATGCTTTAAATGAAAACCAATCTCTCACTTCAAGAATTTTTTTAAAACTGCTCTTTAGCTGACTTGTCAGCCTGTTAAGCAGTATCAGGGTGATTGCTGGTCAGATCACATAAGATTTGATGAAAGAACTTTGGCTTTCCACCATGTTCATACCAGCAAATTCAAAGGTGCTAATTTGCAGCCCTGTATTTCTCGCCAGAATTAATCTGTCAGCAGGAGGTTCCTCACAGGGAGATCCATTCACTGACATGTATTTGGTTCTGACTGTTTTCTGTTTACATCACTATTCTAGGAAAATATCAAAGAGGTTAAAAAGTAAACAAGCGGCCTGCCATCAATTTACAATTTAAACATTTTAAAGAATTGAGAATTTTAAAAATAAGGAAGGACTGAGAAATTTAGGGGAAGCAAATTGTAGTTTGAGGGTAAGATACGGAGTCTTTTGGTCATATTGAGGGTTCAGGGTTCCTTTGTCAGAATTTGAAGGAAAGCATTGTAATAAGCTGGCAGATGGCGACAGGCAGGGGGTCACAGGGTGTAAAGGACACTCAAGAATGAGAAAACCAAAAACGTAAGAACCTTCCAAGTTTTCCCTTCCAACTTTGAGCATCAGTTCTTTTCTTGTTTTGAAAAGGATTTCACTTTGTGTTTCCATCTTAAGATCCTTTCTAGAATCTGAAGAAAACAGCTTCAGTCTTGCGAGCTGAACCGATGGCCCCTCGGGAACTTCCACTCGCTCAGTTGAAACCAGTCAGTGTCTGTGCCACATTCTAGCCATTCTCCCAAAGTACACAGACGTTCTTAGAACCAGGTCTAGTGACAAGACTGCCTTTGGGAAGGGGGACTGGGGAGGTGACCTTTCTCCCGAGAGTGCCTGAAATGGCATCCCGAACCCGCCAGAACTCCTGGAGGTGCCTGAAGCACTGGGCCTTTTCTTATTCTGAGACAGTTTTTTTTTTCTGAGGGTAACTTCTTGTGTGAGAACGAAATCTTCCAGGCTGTATATAAATGGCTCTGGCTACGTGCTCACCGTTGTTGTTGTGGAGAAACAGAGTGTTTTCTGAATAACAGAAAATGTGTCACCCCTTTCCTGCTCTTTCTCCTGCCTCCTCCTGAGAGACCTGTAGTAAATCATAAATTAAAATTCCCGATAGAAATGCAGTCTCTTGACTTGTTTTTTGGCATCAGCCTGTCAAACAACCGTGAAACAGCGACGCCTTCCAAGCATGTGTTAACATGGTCCAGAGTCTCTTGATGCTCTGACAACAGCAGGGCTTTATGTGTCATGTAAGGGATCTTTTGAAATTTGTCTCTTTTCAAACTGTTTATAACTGTTATTTTTTCATTATATGATCAAAGTAATACAGACTTAGAATTAGGGCTAGAGGCAAATTGCTTCTGGCCTCAGGAATAGTTAGCAATTTTTTCGTTGTTTCTGCTTATAATAATGTAAAGGATAATGAACTTTTAAATTTAATAATACCCTAAAACCTTGAAATTAATAGCACATGAAAGTTTTCACTGAATTAGATAGATACCTCCAAAATTTCTGAAATACCAATATTTGCAGAAATTCAAAAAATAGTCTCATTTGCACAGATACTGGTAACTGGAAATGAAGATCTGGTGGTTTACTCAAAATATATCATACAATTAGATTTGATTCAGTAGAAATCCAAGCAGGATTCTGGCCCGTTAACTTGTTCCTGTTCTTGTGTTTGTTTTGTTATCTCTGTGGCTCAAATACTCCTACTCCGTGAGATAAATGGCAGAAGAGCGTATAATGCTGTGAGTAAGCACACTTAGTAGGATGCCACGGGATGGCTCCATTTTTTAAATGAAGTGTATGCTCACGGTATTTCTGAATTCTTGAATATTGTCGTGGTAGAATTTCTCAAAGGCTGAATTTGAATTCATTTTATTGTTGGTCCTAATTCTTGGCCCCCACAATAGGCATTAGTAATTTTCGGAGAGTCTGTGCTTTATCCCTTTTTAGGGGGTAGTTTAGTGTTGGATATGAAATTTGGATCCTTCCTAAGAAACTTTGATGGCTAATACTTTTAGTGCGATTCTTGGCCTGAAGAAAACCATTTTCTCATGAATTAAGACCCTAGGAAAGTCACAGCACATTTTTGGAGGAGAATATCTATATTCCGTTCATACCGATGGCTTCCGGCATCTGAAGTGATGTCTTTGTTTATGATGTCTTTTTCTGTTTGGACCCCTGTCTCCCTTGCTCTTGGCTTTTTCCTGGCTCCTTCGCGGTCCTGGATGGTTTCCTCTGTGGGCGTCTCACACCCAATCTGTGTTGCAGAGGAATTTATGCTTCCCCAGCATTTTTATGGCTACGTAATATTTACATAAGTTTCCGTTAACAAAATAAAAGAATGCTTACCTTTTAAGCATCATTGTTGAAATGGATGCATCTTGCTTTGAGTGAGCTTGATTTGTAGCTTCAGGATTGCAGGGTCTGGAGGGCGTTTGACCCCTCCTGTCATTTGGGTTGAGAGCCTCGTGCAGCCCCAGGCCCCTCAGCAGGGCCGGATGGGAGCCGGAAGCCTGCTCTGCTCTGATGTATTTGCACCGTAGGCATCTACACTTTCTCAGATGGCCAAGGTGTCGTGAGGGATTTTCAGTGAAAGAAAAAAGGGGAAGGTACTGAAATCCTTTCTGATTCATATTAGAACACTGAGCCCAGTTATGGTGGGGTTGAAGTCTGTTTGACCATATGTCAAAGTCAAGGATAGAAGAAGAAATACACTTAGGAATGACGTCACTTGAAAAAACAAAGGAAAGGTCACGTTTCAGATGTGGTTCCTGCAGGTGCAGACCTTGCCAGCGTGATTGTCTCGCACTTGGTTCTCACCCCGCGGGTGCTGTTCCCAGGGCAGGTGGGCGTTTCCTGCAGGAGAAGGCCCTGCCCTCCAGCAGTTCGTGTGTCTGTTGGTGGTGACCCTTTATATTTCTGTCTGTTCTGGTTGCATCTCCATAACAGTCAGTCAGGGTAGGCAGAGGAAGTGGTATTGTCATTTCATAAATAAGGAAACTGGAGCTCAGGGAGCTTAAGAGACTTACTTCTGATTAGTAAAACTAATTAGTGTCTGAGTCATGACCAGAACCCAAGATCTTACCTCCCTCTCTCCCTCCCCTAACTTAAAAAAATTGTGGTAAAGTATGTAGAACCTAAAAGTTACCATTTTAAATTGTAAAGCTCAGTGGCATTAAGTACATTCACATCATGGTACAACCATCGCTGTCATCCATTTCCAGAACGTTTTCATCATCCCAAACAGAAACTCCGTACCCATTAAGCCATAATTACCCGTACTCCGTCCCCGCACCCCCTGGGAGCCACCATTCTACTTTTTATCTCGATGAATTTGATGACTCTAGGTCCCTCAAACAGATAGGATCACACGATATTTGTCTTGTGACTGGTTTATTTCACTCAGTATAATGTCTTCAAGGTTCATCCATGTTGTGTCATGTGTCGGAACGTCATTCCTTTCTTCCCTCATCTGAACCATTTTTGTGTGTACAGTTCAGTAATGCTAATTATATTCACACGGTAGCGCAGTGAGTCATTCCTGATGGTGTTCCATGGTATTTACCACATTTTGTTTATCCTTCCATTCGTCCATGCACGTTTGGGTTGTTTCTACCTTTTGACTTTCATGAATAATGCTATGAATAATGGTGTGCCCCTGCTCTTTCTTCCCATGACCTCTTTTAATGACTGTTTGTAAAACTCTTAATATAAGTACATTTTCACCTGTAAGCAAAATAAATTTCTAGAGCATTGTGGATGTCAAAACAGTCCTTAAGTCTAAATCTCATTAAATCAAATGAGATTGTTTGGTGTAGGAAGAAGATTTAACTATGGGGAATGTGAATGGAAATGATTAGCTAGAAATTGAATCATTTTTATTTATTCAAGGGAATAACCAGCAAGTGCCTGTCAAGAATGAAGCAGACAATTGTGAAACTTTGAAAAAGGTTGACACAAAGTCTGCTTCAGAAAAGAAGATTCACAGAGCGTCTAAAGAAGACATATGTTCTGAGAAGCAGGACGTACCTTCAGTCGAGGTCTGTATTCCTTTTTTTCTTGCCTATTAGAACAAAACCCAAGTTTAGGACTTAGAGTGCAAATATCTATGTAATAACTGTACGTCTGTATTTCATACTTCTCAAAGAGGATAACTATGTATTTGAATCCACATTGATAATTGGTGAGGTTCATGTATTCAGAAAGTTTATCTTCTAATTATACAGGAGATACTAAAACAATTTTTGGTGATATCAGATAGCTTTTATTCTCAAGAGAAGCTGTTCTTAAGCAAGTGGATTAACTCCTGGGTAAAGATGGTGGAGTAGAACCAGATCCCATATCTTGCCTCTCCAGTTGTTACCCAACATCCATTTTTAGGGCAAAATCTTGCTGAGTTAGAAGCATTATCCAGGATCCACAGGAGAGGGATGCCTTTCTAGCTTCAGTGCATGGGCCCTGGTGTGACAGAATCCCAGAAGAGAGGGCAAAGCCTGTGCCCAGCCAGCTCTTTCCCTTCCCACTGTGTAGGCCACTGCAAAGTGTCTAGAAAGCAGAACCCAGCCCTGTATCTCATAGGAACTAAAGTTCCCAGATAAAGGTGGGAAAGGGATTTCGGAGAATTCATCTACTTCACAACAGGACAGAGCTATCTGTGTATTAGCATAAGCACAGTGGAAAAAAATAGCATTGCAACTGTTCAAATATACTATAGTAAAAAATGAAGGAAAGGAGTAGAACGTACAGAAGACAGACCAAGATCCCAATCTAGATGAAAACATATCCAGAGACCTGAAGGGAACTCTGAAAATGCTTCACACTATAGACTATGAATTCAATAAAATTCTAGCTTTTAAAGGCAAATTAATATACTACGATGAGGTTGGAAGAGATATTGTAAAGTTAAGTCAATAAATGTAGACAGTACGTTACCTATTCAGTGGCCGAAAATTGACTTATTGACCTGAAGGAAAGGCTTTGAGGTAATCAGAGTGAATGTGGAGGAAAAATTTTAAGAGATTGTAGATTTTGGAGAAAAGATGATGATAGATGAGGGGACAAAGACAAAAACAGTCCAACATCAGAATAATGATTGTCTCAGTAAATGGCCCAATAGTGGATCAGAAAAGTATTCAGAGATGTAATAGAAGAAAAATTTGCCAGTGTGAGTGAAAAACTGAATTTAAAGATCCAAAGGCACACTGTGTACACCAGGAAAAGCTGATGTGTGATATTGGACATAGGCACATCTGGTTAAGGTGTTGAACTTAAAGCTTAAAGAATTGTGCTGAAAAGGCAGGAAAGTCAAGAAAGACACACCTAGGCTTGCCTCAGACTTTGTAGAAACATCGAATGTCTGATGTTCCACTGATACAGTGGAACAGTATCTTCGAGAGAATGAAAATGTGAACACGAACATTATGTCCAGTGAAGCTGGCACTCAGGCACGAAAGCAGCAGACATTCATCTGTAAACTCAAATGAACTTGGGAGCCTTCCTTGAAAAATGAAGTTAGTGAAATTTAGCCAACCAGGATAGAAGTTTGAGGAAGCTGTGTTAAAGGTCTTCTGAGGTTTCTCTCCATTTTATATCCAGAACTTTGGTTAAACAGTGGGCAGTTATGGTTGCAAAGTGGATCGCAAATATTAAAACTTTAACAAAACAAAAATAGTAATAAAATCTGCAAAAAACGGGGTGGGACTGAAAGGTAAGTGAAAGTAAGTTTTAATTTGATCTTTCTTGGTAGCTAGCCAATCCTGTGCAAAACTGAAACAAGTAGTTTAAAAGGGTGAAAACCAACGAAAATATCTTTCACCATCTTTTTCTTAACCTTAGAGAGATCCTTAGGCAATTAATGTATCATGTGGAGAAGAAGCAGTTATTGAAAGTTGGCATTCCTTTGGTTCTACTTCATTTTCTTCTAAGTTCAAATAAAATTGAGCCTTAAATTTATATTTAAAAATAATGCATGGTCCTGGTGTTCTAAATTTCTCCCATCACCTGTCCTCCCATCCTTATGTAGGCATAGGTTCTTAAAAAGACATTAAAGAGTAAGGTTTGCCAAATAATCAGTGGGAGAACCTGCTTATTTCTGAGCGATGGGATTTTGCATGATTTCTTTTTTCCTCCTTTATGCTACTCAATTTTTGCTTAAACTCTACAAAAAGCATGCATTTTTCATTTAAGTAAATGGAATGAGAGTGATACCGAATAAGAAAATCGCAGACATTCCAAACCAGGAATTTGTGGTCTGTCGAGAAAGACATTTCCATGTAGTCAAGTGCTGAAGTCAGTGCATAGTAGAGGGGATTGCAGAGATGGGAACGTCAGCTTAGCTTGCAGGGGCCATGGGAAGCCCCGAGGAGGAAGGAACTTGTGCGGGGGGAGTGTAGAGAAGCAGAGGAGGCGAGGGGGCAGCCGGCACCACCGGGTCTCATGGCATGGTTGGGAGCAGTGAGGGAGTCGTCTGACCGAGAAGGAGCTCAGTCAAGAGGGGGAAGGAAGGGGAGGGCAGAGGCAGAGTCCTGCCCGCTTGCCAAGGCCCTCGTATGCCAACTCAGAGTTTAGACTTTAGTCCCTGGATCTCAGTGGGAGACACAAGGAAGTAAGTAAGCACAAGCACTAGGAAGGGAAGGTTGCCTGCTCAGGAATTTCAGGATCAAATTTTTAAAAGCACATTGGTCCAAACAGAAAAGTCTTTTCGGAGGATTTGGCCTGAGGGTGGCCAGTTTGGGGACCCTGCTGCAAATCATGGAATGCTATCGAAGGGTCCTGAACCGGGCAGGGGGTGGCGGGTAGAGGAGGGTGTACAAGAAATGGAAAACAACCTGTGGACTGCGATCTTCTTGAAGGTCGTAATTGAGTATCTTTCAATTCAGTTTCATGGAGATGGGCAGGGCACCTGTTATAAAGAGCCAGTGTGGTGGTTTAGCGAGTGCTTGAATGAATGTGTGAATAATGCATTTCTGAAGGATCAGTCCTAGTGTTTTGGAGGCTGGGTTGGGGAGGGCAGAAATGGATACCAGCTCTCTTCTCACCGGGAGGCTGCTTCTCTGCTGGGAGGTGTGATGTAATCAAGATTCTGTTTGGGCAGGAGCAGGGGTGAAGGACGGGAAGAGGAGGTAGGAGACAGTGTAGAAGAAAGACCAGCAGGACTTCTTAGCACCTGGCTGCGTAAAGGGGAGGAGCTGGCTCTGCTTGCAGAGCCATTTGCAAAAAACAACTCCAAGGTTTTAAGTCTGGGTAACTAAAAGATGGGGAATTGGGGCTTCATTTTTATGTTTGTCAGGGCCGTGTTGCCTCGTGGTTAGCAGCATGGACTTTGCAGCTGGTGTGAGCCCAGCTCGACACTTACTCTGTAACATTGGACGAGTTACTCAACATCTCAGTTTCCTCATCTGAAAAATGAGGGTAATAATAGTATCTCTGCCTCCTAGGTTTGTGAGGACTGGAGGAGTGAATATAGCAAGTGGTTAGAATAGCAGCACTTGTGAAGCACTGCCCAGTAGTAAGAATCAAAGAGGTGACAGGTGTGACTGTGGTCATTGCCGACAGAGGGGGTTGGCTGGACTTGGACGTGGCAGAGCCTGGTAGATGGGAGATACCGAGCCAGAGCTGCCATGGTGAGGCCGGCCCGGGCCTGGGACGTGGAAGTTGTTCCCGTGGAGTTTAGAATTGAAGGGTGACGTGAATTCTCTGAAGTGTGCGCGGAGACCAGCGGCCCGAGTCTGCTTGATGGAGCAGGTATAGTGACGGAGGGCAGGCACGCCGGCCGGGCCATGGAGACAGGGCATGCAATCAGGAGCGGAAGTCAAGTCATTGGATCTGGGGGAGGAGAGACTGGACACATTGGGAGCGGGGACGTCCGTGCTGCCCTGCAATGAAGTGGAAGCCGAAGCTAAGTGGTGCCGACCCCTCCCAGATGTGTCCTGGGAGGAGAGGTGGGAACTGATCACTGCAGGGCCCTCGGTGCAGGGCTGTCTGGAGGGGACCCTGAGGTCAGGCTGGGGATGCTGCGCCGTCTTCCGTGTGTGTGGGTGCCGTGCCCCCACCTCACATGCCCCCCAGCCCCGAAGTCTCCCCTGGCTCCCGTCCAGACTCGCCCTCTGTGCCAGTGCCCCCGGCCGTGTCTTCACACCAGGTTGAGGGGGGCACGGGCCGTGTCTTGATCCCTGTGTGTGGCACTCAGACCCTTCTTGGCCTTGGTCCCAGGGCTTGGGTGGGTTCCTCCTTCCCTTCCTGGTCTGTGATCCTGGGCAGGACGGACGTCTGCTCTGGGTGCGGGCTGCAGGGGGGCTGCAGCGGGGCTGAGGGTCTGGGGGCTTGGGCTGTGCTTGGGGCTCCGAGGTTGCTTGTAGTCACCTGGGCGGGATGGGGGCGGAGCTGTGGGCGTTCCTCTCTGCTGGCTCTGGGGGCCACTCTCAGTTTTGTAGGCTCTTCTTTAAACCACCTTGAGTGTACTTTCCATCCCATTGTTCATTTGGAGACAATCATTCTCAATAAACACATTCCCAAGTGCAGTGCTCAGTGTTTGTTTTTCTTGTACGTTCTTGGAGCCTGACTTTGCAGCTTAGAAAATTGTACAGATCTGTCTATAGCACATGGGGAACATTCCTCCAGATTTATTGGCAAAGGAGGTTGAAGACCAGATTTGGGAGCCGCAAACTAAATTTTAATCCCAGCCCTGGCTGTTTATTTTCTTGTAAGCAGATCTTTTTTTTTTCCCCCCTTAGAAAAGGAATTCATGATTATTACAGAAGCATAAAGAAGGGAGGGCAAGATCTGTCCCAAATGGACCACTTTTTGCGTTTTTCTGTATTCTCTTCCTTCTCTATGCAAGTGTTTAAAAACTTGGGATAATTATTATTGTGTATATGGAGCCTTGTTATAATGTCGTAATTCTGATTTTTCTCATGTTAGAAATTAATGGGAAACTTTGTTTTCAGTGGTTACATAACATTCCATCATTTAACTGTGCCGTAATCCAAACCATTCCCCAGCAGTTGGACATTAAAGTTGTTTGCAACTTTTTATTTTCATAGTAGCATGATGAACTAAGTCTGGCCTGTATATCTGGTACGCCTTTGCTATAGGTTTCTAAAAATAGAATTAGAGTGTCGACTGTCAGGGCCCCTGGTGTGTGCCGCCAGCTCGCTCTCCGGAAGCAGGGTCCCTGTTTCCCCTCATGCCTGGTGCACGACAGCCATTGTGTTACTCTGGTCTCAGCAGCACCGTTTTTTGGCAAAATCTTAGTCAGTGGGATAGGTAAGTGATGGTGTTTTGTTTCTCATCTCAGTTTGCCTCCCTTACTAGGGAAAAGTAAGCATTTTCCTTCATTTTTTGTAAAATTCTGAAAAACACAAGCAAAAAGTCATTCATCCACGATCCTGCCACTGACATTTAAAAATATATATATTTTTTCTAAGTTAAGAGGTGAATGTCTGACCTGGTTTCTCTTGCCCTGCTGAGAGACACACGTGGTACCACATGCGGCTTCCCTAGCCTGTCCTCGTGTTTGCAGGCATAAACACGCAGTGTCAACACACTTGTGTTTTTAAAGCCAAAATGGAAAGATGAGGTAATTGGTCTCTTCTAAAAACATACTTTATTATTAAATATTTTGGAGGAACTCTTCATGTTTTTGGCCTTCTCTATTTCTTCTGTGAATTTGCATTTCATGTCCTTTACCCACTTTTCTATTGAGTGTCACTGTTTTTTTCTTGTTTTCTGTGAGAACATAGGTGAAGGTATTAGCTCTTTGTCTATCAAATAGTATCAGATTTTTTTCTTAGTTTGTCATTTCCCTCTTATTTTTATTCGCTTTGACTTATGTACAGTGGCTTTAAGAATGCCTTTGTGCAGTCAATCTGTGATTTCTCTTTGATTTCTTTCTTTTCTTTTACTATTAAAGCTTAGGAAATCTTATTTCCTCACCCTGCGGCCAGTTAAATTGTCCCTCATTCAGGGAGATCAGAGAACTTAGTTCAGATAATTCAACAATGATGATGATAATAGCTAAGTCTTATGTAAACTGCTTACCACTGTCAGGTACTTTATCCTCACAACAGCCTTTTGGAAGACCTGGGAAACCGAGGCAAAGAGAGGTTAAGTCACTTGCCCAAGATGAGTCAGCTTGTCACACGAAGTGAGGTTCAGACCAGGTGGTTTGGCCACAGAGACTGGTCTTAATTTCAGGTCTGCGTGGACCCTTTCCGATCCTGGCTAGTCCTGCTTCGTCACATGTGGCACCTCCCCACCAGAAAACAAAGAGCCGATTGCCCCTGTCTTCTTCCTCCTATTTCCTGACAAGTCTGTTGGCTTTGGCTCTCAGGTTGCTTTCCCCTCTGCCCCACCTGCGGCATCCGCTGCGGGCCTGTCCGCCCCCAGCTGACCCCAGCCCCATGCCTCTGCACTGCCCCGTGCTTCTCTCTCGGTCTCTCTTTGTGTCATACACACACACACACACACACACACACACACACACACGCACGCACGCACGCCCCTCTTCCCCAGCCCTCCTGTGTGTGCTGCTTCTCCAGCACTCCATCCACACCTCCTTGTCCAGCATGTCCCCCGTGCTCCTGAAACTCACTCTCTGATACTCACAGTAGGTGGCGATGCTTCTGACCACCAAGTCCCCGCTGGGTGTAGCCCTCCAGTGCCTCCCTTCTTGTGGCCTGTTATGCCATTCTAACCAGGCTGTGCTGAGAAGGCAGCCACGTCCAGAGTGACTCCTGCTCAGATCACCCTTCCTGGCTCCACTTGGGGCTGGTCCTTTATTTGTGGGTGACCCTGGAGGGACAGAAAGGTTCAGGTACTCGCTGTGTTGAAAAGCCTTTCTTGGCCCTTAAGTGGACAGAGTGAGGCAGGGCAGGGGCAGACTCTCCCCCCCGCTCCCCCACAGCAAAAGTTGGAAATTCACAGAGAGCAATACTTGAATAAATGTGGTTTGTATTTAAAGTTTAACATTGGATCGCATCTGATCATACGTCTTTAATGTGTCTATTTAGCATCAAACTTAAACGATTAGCATACGGTCCTGTAGGATGGGACTTTGTATGTTTAACTTACCATGTTTTTAAAATGCCTTCAGAATGAGAAAAAAGGTAATACGTATTGGGAGAAAAAATAAAGGAGTGTAAAGAAGAGAGCAAAAATACCATAATCCCACCACATGTACACTTAAAATATCATTTTATTTCTAGTGTTCGTCTATTGTAGTGAGCATATTGCTTTGATGGAAGCATGAGGCTTTCAGTACCCCAGACATGTAATGTGGAGGCGTCTAAAATCTTTTATTTTTCTTCTGCTAAAGGGGCAGCATGGTGGAAGGAAAAAAAGGAGAAAGTATTAGTAGACATTAGAGATATGAGCTACTTAAAAAGGGAATCCCCCTCCCCTTGGGCCTGTTAGTAGACCATGCCTAACATTTAGAAGAGGAAAAAACCCAAATTAAAAAAATTTTTATTTATATGCGTATATATATATATATATATATACATATTATATATAATATATTTCTGTCTCATGCTAAATTAAGTTTTTCAGAACCACATTAAAAAAACATCAAGCATATTCTTGGCATTATTTACTTGAAAAGCTTAAACTAGTTTGGAGCATTCTCTGGAGTTTTGCCTGTTCTCCTAAAGTTCATCTATAAACAAATAAAAACATAAATACACAAATTACTCCTCAGTTGAGTTTTTACACGATTTTTCTTCAGTAGTAATTCATGTGAATTGCACATACCAAATAAACAGGTGAAGGCCGGAGGATTTACTGCTGCTGAGGTTAACGGGCAAGCTGACCATAAATTACTAACAGATGTTTTTCCTTTTTAGCCCCTTAGAAATTTTATAGGCGACAATTTTTTTTTTCTTTTTGCAGAGGCTGAGGGGAGGTAGAGAAAGAAGGGAAATGAAAACAGACTAGAGATTGAGAAATGTATGTCTGTTTTCAGTAGTGGTGGAATGTTCTGAATTCAGATGGAGTTGGTCTTCAAAAGTTAAAAGAAAAAACCATACACAGGTTTTATTTGTGTTAGTAAATTGCAACCCTTACTAAAACTTTTCTTTTTCCTCTTTAGCAGGAAGATCCTTATAGGAAGAAGAGGCTTCAGGAGAAAAAAGAAGGAAACTTACAAAATTTAAATTGGAATAAAAATCGAGCATGTAGAAAAAACAAGAAAAGGGGTGCTGCCCAGGTCTTGAGGTGTGTGATTTTTACAGTCCCTTTAAATTTTTCATCTATTATTTACTCTATAATTTTACATTTAGCTATTATGTTTCCATCTTATTTTTGTTACGTTGGATACAGATAATATGAGAGTGTAGATGTTTGTGTTTTGAGATAAAGATATATTCTTAAAAGTAACATATCTTCTGGTTATGTTTTTATTTATTTTGTTGAAAACCCCTTAAGATGAGCAAAATTTTAAAATTTTACTTAATAAAATGTAAAAAGCTATAGCAGGTTTTAGGGGAAAAGCATAGCCATCCCTCCACACCAGGGGCGTTGGTGGGCGTTGGTAGAGGACCTCTGGGCACAGGCAGGCCCACGGTCCCAGCTTGACCCTGACTGTCTGGGGTCCCGATAATGCAAGAGAATAGTCCCCACGCATAGAATCTTTGCCCCGATTGATCGTCCAGCAGAAGGTAGGTTCTTCTGCTGTGGGAAGTGAGCTGCAGATAGATAACTGTGAGATTTGCCTGAAGCCCCAGAGGTGGTTGGGGGGCAGAGCCAGACATGAGCCCAGGCAGTCAGGCAGCCTCCTTGGGAAACCTTGCTTCTTTTCTAACCTGTAAAATTAAGGTGCTGCCGTGTTCGTGCGGATCCCATGTGTCTGGGTTCCCAGAAGTAGCTCTCCAAGCCTAATTTTACAGAAATTCCGTAGCTCGAGAATTTTTTCCCACCAGGTCAGTAGCGCATCCATTCTGATGTCACATACGGAGTGCCTCTGGCAGACCTGTGCCCCTGCGGCCTCTGCCCTGCCTCTCAGGTGGCCCTCGCGCTGACGAGCTCCCTGATTCCTGTCGCGAGTGGGCTTCGGAGCCTGTTTCCTCCCACCTTGCCCCTCCATCTCCACTGCTCCGGCTTTTCTTCCTTTGAGCATTGGCATCTGGGGATTTCTCTTTCTTGTGAGCTCAGCTAGGTACTTAAATGTGTTGCTGTCAGATGTGTTCTCTAGCAGTTCCAGATTTGCGTGGGGAAGGGACTCCACCCTGCTGTAAGTGGTTGCTCTTGTGGTTGGGAGGGAACTGTGGCAGAACCGCCCACGTGGTGGCCAGGACCCCCGCATGGAGGCATGTGACATGCTGCTTCCAGTGTCTGCCCCCTTTGCGATCAGGAGCTTGGACCCTGGGATTCAGCCCTGTAACACGTGCCCCCCCTTCCTCGAATGTCCTGTTCTGCTGGAGGAGGGCCAGGCGACCCCAGGGGGCCTTCAAGCTCTAGTTCTGTGTCCTGCAATCAGCAAAATGCAAACAGGAAAAAAGGAAAGATACACATTATTAGATTATTGATGGGTAATTATTAAATACTACTTACTAATGGGTAATTATTCTTATTTAGGCTAAATTATTATTATTATTATTTTTTTTTTTGCGGTACGCAGGCCTCTCACTGTTGTGGCCTCTCCCGTTGCGGAGCACAGGCTCCGGACACACAGGCTCAGCGGCCATGGCTCACGGGCCTAGCCGTTCTGCGGCATGTGGGATCTTCCCGGACCGGGGCACGAACCCGCGTCTCCTGCATCGGCAGGCGGACTCTCAACCACTGCGCCACCTGGGCAGCCCTGGGCTAAATTATTTGAAAGCTGCAATGTGGTCTCCTATAGAAAGGAAAGTCACACCTTGTATTTTCATAAAAATTTGATGGACTTATGTGGTCACTTTAAAGTGGCATGTTTTTCTGATGTGGACATATAGAAAGATATAAAATTAGGGTGGAATTTCACCAATTAAATGTTACAATATATTTTTGAAAGCAGATTTCTGACATGCTAAAGAAACCAATTACGGTGTTAAAGAATAACTTCCAAGTAGCTTGTAGGTAATCAGAATGTTTTGAGAACGTGATGCTTACGTAGGTGGTGGTTGTTGGACTGTCTGTTGCCAATCTGTCTCTATACTCTGTCTCTATACTCTTTACCCTGAGTGGTCACAAACCACTGAGACCATCGGCTTCATCTCACACCTGTCCTCCTACAGATGTGACGTGAGGTGCGGAAGTTGGACTGTGTGAAATAATCACCTAGGTCTTCACGGAGCGTTCTCTGACACATTTCTGTGTCTCCATTTACAAAGCTGTATTACAGATTTTCCCTCAAGTTCATAGTCTAGTTAGAGAGGTATAAATGTTGGACTGTGAACTCCTTGGGGGAAGAACTTCATTCTTCTTTGTAGACGCCACACCTTTCCTAACAGTACATGGCTCATGGTCGTCACTCCACAAATGTTTGCTAAATGAATGAATGAGAAAAGATTTCAGTTAACGCTCAGACGTTCCCCCAGACGCCAAGGAGCAGGTTCATCTACTGAGAGTCATGTTTTACACGAAAACCAAGGAAGACATACAGAGAGTCATGGGTTCTAGTCCTGCACCTGCCACTTACCAGTTGACCTTGGGGGACTCATTTAACCTGTAGAGTTTTACTCCTCTCACTGTAAAATATGAAGAGATTAAATGAGCTCCAACTTAATTCTCGTTCTAAAACAGCAAAATCTTGTCCTTCCTAATCTCTCTCCCTTACTTATCGTCTTCTCCCAGCAGACCCAGAGAGAAGAGAGCTCAAGTTGTCCCAGATCCACCTTTTCACCTCTGCTAAGTCTCAAGGAAAGCAGGTATGTGTGTATGCACGATAAAATGCAGACGTGATTTTTTTGTGGCTCTTCCAGGCCTTCGGAACAGAGTGAATTAAAGCTGGTGTGCAGTGAATTTGAAAGGTCTGAGCTGAGCAGTGACATCGACTTAAGGAGCTGGTGTATCCAGGAAAACCCTGGGGAAGCATGTAAAACAGATGCTGGCATTGGAAGCAGCTTACCTGCCTCGCAGGGAGAGGCAGGTATGGAACCGCGTGGAGCTACCAAACAGTGCTTCTGTCGGGATTGTTGTTGATTGTTATTTCCTCGGGGAAGTGCCCAGTGTGAGAGCTTATCACTTCACCCAAGCCTGAATGGAAAGCTGTCCGGATGAGACAGTAGGCTGCGATTCTTCTGAGCCTGGGCAGGCCTGTAGGGTTGCCCCGCCTACCTCCCACTCCTCTAAAATCTGGCCACTCTCAACTGTGTCATGCCGGCGGCTGAATAACCGTGGGTGATGGCTCAGGACAGGACTCCCTTGGTGAAAGAGGAGGGTAGGGGAAAGCCAGGGGAGAACAGCGGCCGTCCTCACACCCCTGCGCCAGGTGGTTCCTGCAGAGCCAGGCTGCTGCTCCGCCGAGGGCTGCTGGCCGGTGACCTGGGGGCCCCGGGGCTGGGTCCAGGGAGGGGTGGAGGGTGGCAGGAGAGGAAGGTCCTGCGGGGGGGGGAGGGGTGTGGGACACCGACACGCACATTTCCAGACACGTGTGCGTTGTTTCTCGGTCTTCCTGGAGGTTCTTCCCACCCACACATAAATAATACTGTGAAACTCTCGGTGGACATTTAAAAGCACTTTTTATGAGAGTCTAGTTGATTTACAGTGTTGTGTTAGTTTCAGGTGTACAGCAGAGTGCATCAGTCGTACGTATATCTTGGGGGACATTTTAATACAAGAGAGAGAAGTTACCTACACGTCTCCAGTCCGAGAGAGTAGCCTTGATTTTCTTGAGAGAAGTACTTGTTATTTCCAGAACCACTTTTAGGTCGCGATTATCATTGGTGTTGACTGTCTCAGGCTAGACCACGTTCACTGTCCGGCCCACGGCAGAGCCTGTGGGGCCCGTGACTCGCCCCCGCGGCTTCCTCAGGGCCCATCGTCAGTTTCAGGGAGCGTCTTCCTTCTCGCTGGACGGGCAGAGGGGGCAGATCCTGAAGCTGAGCCCTGCCTTCTTCATACCTTGGCCTCTCTCCTTCTACTGGAAGTGGCATCAGGTTGAAAACTCTGTAAGCGAAACACGACTCCTCTCTCACTTCCCACAGAGGGTTACTTCCAGAAGCCGGGGAAGAAGCGCGTGGAGAAGTCCTGCTCAGACTCCAGCTCGGACTGTGGCAGCTCCTCGGGCAGCGTGCGTGCCAGCCGGGGCAGCTGGGGCAGCTGGAGCAGTGCCAGCAGCTCTGACGGGGACAAGAAGCCCATGCTGGGCCCTCAGCACTTCCTGCCACCTGGTGAGTCTGGGACTGAGGCCTCCTGGCCCTCCTGCCCCGGCACCCAGAACAGGGGCCTGATCTGCCTTCCAGTGCCGCCCGCCCGCGGTGGGCTCTGCATTCCCGTGCTTGCTTTGCTTTGCATTTTATCCACTTTCTTTTTTCTTTCTTCCTTCCTGCCTCCCTCCATTATTATTATTATTTTTTAAAGTCTGTATCTTGGAAACAGTTCAAAGAATTTCCACGTTTATTTTTTCACTTGTACATTTGTTTGTTGTGGTAAAGAATACATAACACAAAATCTACTATTTTAACCATTTTTAAGTGTCCAGTTCAGTGGCATTAAATACGTTCACATTGTTGTGCAGTCATCACCACCATCCATCTTTGGGCCTTCTTCCCCATCCCAAAGAGAAACTCGGTACCTATTAAACCGTAGCTCTCCCTTCCCCACCCCTACAGCCCTGTGAACCTCTATTCTGCTTTCTGTCTGTGAATTTGAATACTCTCGTATCTGGTAAGTGAAGTCATACAATACTTGTCCTTTGGTGAGTGGCTTATTTCACTTAGCATGGTGTCTTCAAGGTTCATCCATGTTGTGACATGTCAGGATTTCCTTCCTTCTTAAAGGCTGAATAATAAATATTCCGTTGTCTGTGGATAGACTGCATTTTATCTCTCTATTCATCTGTTGATGGACACTTGGGTTTTTCCACCTTTTGCGTCTTATGAATAATGTTGCTATGAACAGTGGTCCTCCCTTGTTTTTGAAAAATTTAAAGATACAGGAAAGGTCAAAGAAGCATCTATATTTCTGTCACCTAGAATTAATAACTCTTAATTTTGTCATATTTGCCCTCCTTTTTTTTTTAAGAGGTAATATTTTATAGTCTTCCGCTTCCTCCTGCTTGAGAGACTCACTGTCCACTGTCATGGGCTTGCTGTGTATTCTTTTAATCCATACTTTATTTTACATTCATATATCAACAAAACAGAGAATTTTTTTTTTTTTTTTTTTTTTGCGGTACGCGGGCCTCTCACTGTTGTGGCCTCTCCCGTCACGGAGCACAGGCTCCGGACGCGCAGGCTCAGTGGCCATGGCTCACGGGCCCAGCCGCTCCGCGGCATGTGGGATCTTCCCGGACCGGGGCACGAACCCGTGTCCCCTGCATCGGCAGGCGGACTCTCAACCACTGCGCCACCAGGGAAGCCCCAGAGAATTGTTTTTAACTTACATAACGGAAATCACGCTTCAGTAAGCATGCTGCGTCTTGCTGTTTCACTCAGTGTTGTTTGTCGTACCTCCATGTCTACGTAAAGATTTAATTCACTCCTTTTCGCTGTCATGGTCAACATAGTACAGGTTAAGCTTTGTTATCAGGACAGGGGGGAGACGGGTTCCATTGGCGTCACCGTGGCATCCATGGGACGCTCACTCTGTACGCAGGGCCACGGGGGGCGCTCCCCGTGCCTCCAAGGACCTGGGCTCAGAGAGGTCGCGTGGCTTGTTGGACGCCCTGGGACCCTGACTCCCCCCGAGCCCAGCCCACTTCCCACTGCCTCCCGCTCATTACAGCGGCCTCTGCTGTGTCTCCTGCCAGCAGTGATTACCTATAAAGAAGCTCCTGTCTGGGAGACCTGGGCCCTGGCACCATAAAAACCTAGACACATGCCCACTTGTGATTTCAGTCCGTTTCTCAGCCTTTTTCACATCATTGGCCCTTCCTGCAGGTGCCTTTTTAGACACTGTTTGCCTAATGACCCCCCACGGACATACACGTACATCTGTTTATTACTGTGTGCTGGAGAACGCCACGAGGGCTTGGATGCAGGACGGCTTGCGGTGTTTTGTTTGGTGGCGGGGATGGTCTTCTTGGCCACTGAAGGCAGTACGCCTGATGGTGCTAATGCGAGAGTTTTTAAAATTGGTGCTTAACATCAATAAAAAAATAGAAGCGCAGCTCTCGCTTGGGGGATAAGGCCAACAGCAGGAGAATGAGAAAGGTGAGTGATGGCCTTGCTTGTAACACAGGGCGTAAGACTCAGTCTAGTTATGTTCAGAGGTTGTATAATAAATATCAGGAAAATGTCCCCAATATAATTTTTTAAAAGATGTATTTATTATATACATATTTATTTTATTTATTTTTGGCTGCGTCAGGTCTTAGTTGTAGTATGCGGCATCTTTTGTTGTGGCGCGTGGGCTTCTCTCTAGTTGTGGCGTGCAGGTTTTCTCTCTCTAGTTGTGGCACGCGGGTTCCCCAGCACGTGGGCTCTGTAGTTTGCAGCACGAGGGCTCTAGTTGAGGCTCATGAGCTCAGTAGTTGTGGCATGCGGGCTTAGTTGCCCCGCGGCGTGTGGGATCTTAGTTCCCTGACCAGGGATGGAACCCGTTTTCCCCTGCATTGTAAGGTGGATTCTTTACCACTGGACCACCAGGGAAGTCCCCCCCAATATAATTAATTGTGTAAAAGATCAAAAACACAAAGTATTTTTGAAGTATGATCCAAGTTTTATACACATTCATACGTAAAAGTTTTTTTAATTAAAAAATTGACTGACTATCCATTAAATGTGAAAAATAAATCATTCATAGGGGTTAACGATGTTAGTGATCTGCATCTTAACACAGGATATACACAGTTGAATTATGCTTATAAAAACTTGTGATCACCTTTTTGTTTTTATGCAGGAGACAGTGTTTCACAAAATGACTTTCCCTCTGAAGCTCCCATCTCCTTGAATCTTTCTCATAACATCTGCAATCCCACGTAAGTGTTTAGTTTTCCAGCTTTTACAGTATGTTTTAGGTACTGCTTTTTTCTTTCATTCCGTGTGTTTCTTCTTTGTACTTGGTTCTGCAGGCTAAAATAGGAAAACCTTTTAAGGATGTGAGAAAGTAAATCTGATTTTATTAATAATTCAGGGCATACAATCTTTCCAAGACAACACGCTTGTGTGGGGACGTCTCTGGTATCACTGGTCCTTTCGGTGATACGGCCGCGTTAGAAGGTGTCGCTCCTGAAAGTAGGAAGAACAGTAGTAACAGTAAGGATGGGAACCAGCTACTCTTTTCTAGGACTTGAAATAAAACTGAGCACTGATGATTCAGAAAAGTTTGCAAGAACCTAGGAGACACATGTTTACGGTTTCACCGTGTGATGATTTCTGCAGCATCGGACAAAATAAACAAGCACCATTTACTGAGAGGGAGAAGAGGAGGGTATGTTAGAAGGAGAGGGTTTCAGAGTGAGGAGTGTGGTTAGGTTTTAGGCACCATGAGAGGACAGGGGGTGGTGTCATAAAAATGGAATGGATGAGGAAAGCTCTATGCGAGCTCTTTCTGTTAGGGGTAGAGAGTAAACCAGGAGTGGGAGGTTGTTGCCAGCTGCTGAAAGGCAGATTGGAAACTGCAGACTACCTTAGTTAGCATTGTGCTGTTGGTGTTTGTTAAAACAAGACTTCCCTGGGGGCTTCCCTGGTGGCGCAGTGGTTAAGAATCCACCTGCCAGTGCAGGGGACACGGTTCGACCCCTGGTCCGGGAAGATCCCACATGCCGTGGAGCAACTAAGCCCGTGCGCCACAACTACTGAGCCTGCAGTCTAGAGCCCGCAAGCCACAACTACTGAAGCCCACGTGCCGCAACTACTGAAGTCCACGCATTCTGGGGCCCATGTGCCGCAACTGTTGAGCCTGTGTGCTGCAGCTACTGAAGCCTGTGCACCTAGAGCCCGTGCTCCACAACAAGAGAAGCCACCACAATGAGAAGCACGCACACCACAGCAAAGGGTAGCCCCCACTCGCCACGACTAAAGAAAACCTGCGCAGAACAACAAAGACCCAACGCAGCCATAAATAAATGAATGAATGAATACATACATACATACATACATACTCTTACACCAAAATAGAAGATTGAAGGTAGATGTTATTTAAAAAAAAAAAAAAGACTTCTCTGGATCTTGGGAATTTAATATTCCTCAGCACTTTTGTGGGTGTATACCTTTATGTCTCTAGTATCTTTATGGTTTTTGAGGGGAAGAATTCATGTAAAAACGCAGTCAGGGGCTTCCCTGGTGGCGCAGTGGTTGAGAGTCCGCCTGCTGATGCAGGGGACGCGGGTTCGTGCCCCGGTCCGGGAAGATCCCACATGCTGCAGAGCGACTAGGCCCGTGAGCCATGGCCGCTGAGCCTGCGCATCCGGAGCCTGTGCTCCGCAATGGGAGAGGCCACAACAGTGAGAGGCACGCGTACCGCAAAAAAACAAAAAAAACCCAAAAAAAACACGGACTTAGTTACAGAAATTCAGCATTTCCTTGTACAGAGAGGGTCAGTGGCTCATCTTCTTGCTCTCCCCGCAGAGACGTGAGTAGCTTCCCCCGACACGTGGACGCCCCCTGTCCCAGCCTTCCTGCTGGGCCTGCGGCTGTTGAAGAAGATAAAGGTGAGGCGCGTTGCTCTTGCTCCGGACACCGGCCAGGTGTCCATGTCGTGCTGCTGGCCGGGGAGCTTGAGGACAGACAGAGCCGGCTTGTCTGTGCCCCGGCTCCCGAGCGTCGGGAAGGCCCCTGTCCTCTGCCCTGGCGTCCTCGGGGCCCCTGGCCTCGGCTGCCCCTTCTGCACGGACCCTGAGCTCCATCCTGGGACACAAGGCACAGGTGCCCTGTGGCCCCGGAGCAAGGTGGGGCCCCTTTACAGGGGTTGCCTCCGCCTTTAGTTCCCTTTCCCATCTAGGGTGGCAGAAAAGCGGGGAGCAGACGGAGGCTCCGGCGCCCCGATTAGCTGACTTCCACCTCCCGTGTCTCTGCCTGTCCCCCGTCCCCACCCCTCCCCCTTGTCTCAGAAGCCTGTCCACTGATCCAGCCTCCCTCCTGCACCGGTGCTGAGGCCAAGCGCTGAGCTCTGTGGCCTCAGCCAGGCAGGGAGGGCGGCCCAGGAGCCTGGACACGGGGCCCAGGGAGGGAAGCCGCTCCGCCCAGGGTCTGCCCCGGAGGTTAGCTCCAGGCCCCCTCTCTTTCCTTCTCCTTCCCTTCACCTCTCTTGCCTTCGTTTCTCCTCTTTTCTCCTCGCGCCTCCTTCCTGCCTAACCAGGCTCAGGAATGGTGGCAGGATGAGCCTGGTTGTTACCCTCTGCGGCACCGTCGAGCTCTTGCTTTTGCTCATGTGAATCACGCTGGACTAAAGGCTGCCCAGCACAGCGAGCACTTTTACTTTGAAGGCAGGAGGCTTCCAGCTCTGTGGTTACAGAGAGTTTATCTGCTGTCAGATTATCAACAGAAATAAACTATTCGTGAGTTGGATCTGCCTACTGGTCCAATAAAAATAAGTGTTTTTGATGAAAAAATACTCTTAAATTCAGTAATTTGCTTAGGCAAGATTTAGGGAGGTTTAGAAGGTACTGCCTTTTCTCTTTGAGGTGATAGAGGAGGGAGAGGATTTAATGAACGGTGAGGAAAAAGAAAACCTGTGTCAAAACAGGTACGCCTGCCATGTTCTCCGGTCTTTGTTTTTGTCGTCAGTTGGAGAATCGTATGTCATCTAGTGTCTTATCCATGTTGTGTGTATGTGTTTCAAGCGCCTTTTTACCTCGTCTTTGTTAATAGTCTGCAGTTACTTTTTGATGACCCGTTACAATCCTGTTGAGGCCCTAAAGTCACTACAGAAACAGCCCTTGTTCACAGTCACTGTCCACAGGGCCGGTGCCGTCCCCTTCCTCTGCCCGCACCTCCCTCACGCGCCCCAGCCTCAGTCCTCCCACCTGCTGTCACGTCCCCTCTGGGCCCCCTCCCCCTGCGCTGCACCCTCCTTGCAGAGCCACGGGCGTGGTTTGGCCCAGTTTTCCAGTGTCTCTGCCCTGTGCCGTGCAGATGAGCGAGACTGGAGAGCAGCGCACACAGCCGGCCGGCCACCAGCCTTGCGGCAGCTGCGGCCCCCACCCCCCACCCCGCCCCCCGTGCCCACCTGTCAGTCCTCTGCCGGGTTCTCTTAGCTGATGCTTCCCGTTACCTGGGGAAGAGAGAGGCTCCGCCTGCCCCGTCTTCCACCCGCCACCCCCGCTGCCCTCCTGCTGCGGCCCGTGTGTTGTCAGGCTGCCCTCCTCTGTGGGGTCCCTTTCCGGCTCGGTGCCAGCGTCGGGTTTTCTCTAACGGGTCGTCCCCACCGGCATCCGTACATACCATGAGACCTCCCATCCCGTCCTTAACACAGAAGCAGCCACTCTCCCTTGACGCCCCCTTATCTGGCTGCTTCTGTGCCCTCCTCTCTGGGAGAGCTGCCTGGGGGAGTTGTCTGCCTGATGCTTAGATTCCTTTCCTCCTGTTCTCCCTGAAACCGCTGGGGCTGGCTGTGCCGTGACACCGGAGCAGTGTCTGCGGGACCCCAGTGATCTCCGTGGCCGGGGCCCCGCACTCCGGCCTCCTGAGACCTTCTGCTCGGGCTGTGACCTCGGGGGTCCCGGTGCAGTTCCCCTCGGCTCCCCCAGCTCTCATGCTCATCTGGGTCGTGCTCTCCTGGTGGTCCGTCCACCTCCAGCCCCCCGACAGCTCCCACTTCTGCACAGCCAGCTGCCGGTGCCATCTGTCCTCAGGCCTGCACCGGTGTCCCGTACAGAACGCTCACCTGCTCAGCCCTACTCCTCGCACAGCCTCCCACTCGGGCTTTCTTGTTGCTCAGGTCAGAAGTCTGGGCGTCATCCTGGACTCTTTTCCTCATCCCCACATGGGATCTGTTGTCTCACTCTGCCTCTGCCTTCCAAACAGACCCAGAATCTGATCACTTCTCCCCACGGCCACCATTCTTTCTCGCCGCAGCCTCCCGACAGGTCTCTCTACTTCTCACCTCACCTTACTATCTCATTGTCTTTTATTTTCTTTCTTTTTGGGATATAATTGATACATAATATTAGATTCGTTTCAGGGGTATAACTAATGTAATGATTCATCATATGTACATATTGCAAAACGATCACCACGGTAACGCTGGTGAACATCCGCCACCACCTTACCGTCTCTTTTCAGCACAGCAGCCAGAGGGATGATATTGAACGTGAGTCAGATCACATCACTGTCGAGACCGGGGAAGGGTCTGAGGCGTTTACCCTACTTATTACGAGCTAACAAGTTAGCCTGCCATGATTTTGTAGCTGCTGCCAGAGGACAAGAGGCTCCTGGGTCAGAGAATAGGACGCTTAGCACAGCAAGCAGCCTGAGCATCTTGTAAGCACACTTCCTTCAGGCCTCCAGTCCCTTGGGGGCGATGCAGGGCCGCCCAGGTGGGCGACATTATCTTTATTATGTTGGACGAAGCAAACTTGCCCGTTGCTCTAGGGGGAGATCCTGTCTCCATCTTCTGAGGCTTTGTTTAGCAAATATCCTTGGAAAGATAGGTCAGAACGTGGGCAGTCAGAGCATCCATTCCAGGAAGCAAAGAAACGTGAGACCCACAGAGATTGTCTCGAAGCAGCATACACACCCCTCGTTTCTGTGCGGTCTTGGCTTCCGGTCCATTTGTTCATGAGCACCTGAGTGCAGAGGCGGTTCTTGGTTGATCTGATCTTAATCGGCTCATGCAGCCTCTGGTCCCAGCGATACTCAACAGGACTTTCACGGCAGGATGCCCCGCCCTGCAGGACTGACCGTAGGGTGCCTGCCCAACCACTGAGCAAGGCCCCAAACACCAGGGCGGCCTTAGGAGGTGGACCTCGTCCTTGAGAGACCCCCACAGCTATGACAGCTACGTGGTCTCTGGTGGTGTTTCTTTAAACGCTCGAAGGTCTCTCTGACCACCGTGAGCTGCAGGTCTCTGGGTCTCCAGGCGGGTGATTGCCGCCGGCTCCCACATGGGGGTGCAGCCCTGGGGGCGCACACGCTGCCTGGAAGGCGAGAGTTGTGTCCATGTATTCCTGTCCATGTATTCCCCCCATCCCCGTGTGGCCTGGTTGGCTGGTAGACCTTCGGGTTCCCAGTGCATTTCGAATAGTTGAGTCTATTCTTTCTTTGTGGAGTTCCTGCCCATGTGCAGATGGCCAGTCTGCCCCTTTAATCCATGCCACCAACCAATGGCGTCCATCCGTGCATCCCACGAATGAGCAACGGCTGTGGCGGTGAAGGTGGAGACAAGCAGAGGTGCTGCAGGTGTTTGCTGGGAAGAGCAGGAGCCGGGTGTCCCCTGGAAAGGTTTAGGGGGACGGTGTTCAAACTGAGGTCAGGACAATATTGTTGGCACACCCAGCAGGCAGGCGCTTCCACGGCTTGGGAGCGCCGAGCCGGGACAGGGTCCCTCCCGAGGAAGCCTCAGGGGCAATTGTGGAAAACAGGGCTCACTCACGTCACTCCAAGCCCGGTACCTGCAGGGTGCAGGGTGTTCTCTCCCCTGGTGCTGAGGTTGGCCCCCTCCACTGCCACAGAATCCTTGTGTCTCATCCCTGGGGCTGTAACAGCACCGTTTTCCCAGCTTCTTACTTCTTTTGTTTGTTGTTTGTCTCCGCTCACTTGAATGTCAACGTGTTCACTGCTGTGTCCTGGGAATCCTGCCGGGGCTTTGCAGGAAGCAGGCAGGCCCTGCAGTGCTTGTTGAGTCACTACCATGATCTCGTAATCCGGGCCAGGAGACGGTTCTGTCCCGTCTGAATTGCGGGTCAAAGCTGCGCGCGGCCCTTGCACTTTACAGACAGAAGGGCTCTAGCGGTGAAGCCGCGCGGGTGATACGGGCTGGAGGCGGGGCTTCCTGGAGGGAGGAGAAGTCGAGCTGGTCCTTGCAGGAAGGGTGGCCGAGGGCTGCATGAGAAGGAGGGGGGCTGAGAGGCCTGTTCTCTTCCGCAGGTCTCTACCCCCCGGGGGACCTGTGGCCCGCACAGCCCGTGTGTGTGACCAGCGGCTTCGGCTGCGCCGTGGAGAGCAGCGGGCCGGCCGTGCTGCCCGCGCCCGCCCCGGTGCACAGCAGGTATGCGCTCCATCCGGATGACGGCAGCAGCGGCCGGGTCCGGGCTTTCTCCCCAGCTCCTGAGCTGGGTGTTGCCAGCTGCTTTTTGGAGTTGAGCTGTGATGTCTGAAAAATTACAAGCCAGGAATTGAGAGAAACAGGGAAGGAAAAAAGTAACAGCCGGTGACCACGTCAGTGTTTTCCTTTTTAAACTGAAAAGACGAGCTATTCATATATTAGAGGCAAAACTGAAAAAACAAAAACAGTGCCTCATAATTCCTACCCGCTAAGAGAATAAAAATTTCCATTTTTCCTTGGCATTAATCTTGAACACATTTAAAAATTTTAAAGATCGAATAATTTTTGAGTATTGAAAAATAGTTCCACAAGTGGCAGCTTCTTAGACTTGCCATTAGATTAATCATTCGATTATGAAACCTTGAGAAAATGTTAATATCTATGTTTAATCAGAATCCAGTTGAAGTTTTATTGGGGAGTTTAGCTTATTATAATAGAGGTAGTTACTTTCTTATTTCTATAATGAAAATCCAGATTGCAGTTGGGATCAAAGCATCTACCATGAGTCATAGTCTGGCCTTGCCCCGAGCGGAAGGTGGCAGATCGTAGCGGATGTGTTTGAGCCCCCTGGGTGGGTGTTGGGACCCTCTCAGCAGTGTCCCATCCTCCACGTGCTGACAAAGCCACAGCCACGGGCTCTGCCTCTGGTTAGACTTAACAAACGCGGGTGGGTTTTAGTTTGTTGTTTGTTTGTTTTTTTTTTTAATGTAATATCTTTTAGTTAAAAGTGAGAGCAATTTTCTCTTTCAAATCTTGGTCCTGCTTACATGCTTTACACCTAACCATGGGCAAGTTTTTTACAGTCTAAGTGAAAGTACTTCTCTGGCAAACTGAAAGCCGGGTTTTCATCCATTCCCCTTATCTAGGCATAATTTATTTGCTTTTTCTTGTCTCATTTAAAGAAAAGCTCCCCTGCCCCCACTTTTCCCTGAGTCCCTGGCTCTCTGTACTCAACAGATCAAACTCCATCTCTGACTTTCTTTGGAATTATAAATGACATACAGTATTACATTTCAGTTGTACAACATAGTGATTCATTATTTTTATACGTTCCAAAATGATCACCATGTAAGTCTAGTCATCATCTCTCACCACACAGAGTATTACAGTGTGATTAACTATGTTTCCTATGCTGTACATTAATTACATCCCCATTGAAAGGAAGTGGGCATCCAGTCCAAGCCATCCATCCTGCAGTGCTGTGTCATTGGTGATGAGCATTGAGTTAGTAAGTCTTTGATTCTGTGACAATAAAGTACTTCTTTAATTTTCCAGAGTTGAGGAATTAGCAGCGATGAGGATGCTGGGCAATAACATCGTACTCCTCTTTCTTTCCTTGATATGTTGACATCCTGTTTCTGAAACTAGACCCCTTGTTTTTTGTAGCAGTTTCATTGATTGGAATGCAACGTGTGAAGGCCAGTTTCCCAGTGTGTACTGCCCCCTGGAATTGAACGACTACAATGCCTTTCCGGAAGGTAAAGCTATTTGGACAATCTTAATGCCATTCTTTTTTTTTTTTTGGCTGTGTCGGTCTTAGTTGCAGCCCGCGGGATCTTTCATTGCAGTGCACGGGCTTCTCTCTAGTCGTGCCATGTGGATTTTCTCTCTCTAGTTGTGGCACGGGCTCCAGGGCACGTGAGCTCTGTAGTTTGCGGCACACGGGCTCTCTTGTTGAGACGCGAGAGTTCAGTAGTTGTGGCACGCGGGCTTAGTTGCCCCGCAGCATGTGGGATCTTAGTTCCCTGACCAGGGATCGAGCATGCGTCCCCTGCATTGGAAGGTGGATTCTTTCTTTACCACTGGACCACCAGGGAAGTCCCCCAGTGCCATTCTTTTATTCTCAGAAAGTCAAAGCAGTGTGGACTCAACACACTAACTGCAGAGAATGTGCCTTTGAGAATGATCTTCCAGGATGCTGCTGAGTCAGTTCTTCGTGTGGGTCCAGCATGCCTGCCATATGTAATTTTATATGGCCCAAAAAAGCCCTCTAAACCCGGGTGTCTGGGAACTGGTACAAATAACCCTAATCTATTTAGTCCTTCAAATTAGGTAGAACGGGGTCATTTGGATCTATGTGTACCTAAACTGTGGATTATCCATTGGATTATCCATTGGGAGGCTGGGGTTAGTTACTCTTTTTAGGCAAACAAGTCCCAGGTGAGGTAGAATCATTTACCTGCTTGTTCCTCAGCATGTCCTGATGCTTATGCCCCTGGATGGTGCTGCAGAAGGAAGGGAAGGAGCTTGAAGGGGAAATTGTGAAAAATTGCAGATTCTTGGGCCCAAATATAAGTACAAGATGCTTGTACTTATCTGGGTTTTGATATATGCAGTGCTCTATGATAATCACAAGGGGGTGCTGTGGTAACTTTCTTTCTGCCTGTGAGGCTGGGTTTATACCTTCTTACTGCTGTTGGAGAAGGGCTTGGTTTCCTATTACTTTATCAATGCATATGGTGTATGTGGAGATGGCCGACATTGGCATGACAGGCAATAAAAGAAAATTTTAAGGACTGGTAAGAACCTTGACACTATTCAAATCTATGGTAGTATATACTACTATAAAAGTATAGCAGTATTTTAGTGTATTCTGTGTATTAGAAAGAGTCCCATCAAATTATCAAATACAAAAAATTAAGCCCAGAGGAAGAACTTCCTGAGGGCTTCCCAGGTGGTGTGTGTCATGGAGTAATTATTTTATGTTCATCTTTAACTTGTCAATATAGTAAGGCCTTGAGAGCTTTCTGTCTGAGAGTGAGAATTCCATTGTCTCCAGAAAAATGTTCACCTCTGTCGATGTCTCCCATTCTTTGTAGAAAACATTAACTACCCCAATGGCTTCCCCTGTCCTGCCGAAGTTCAGACAGACTTCATTGACCACAGCTCCCAGTCTGCCTGGAACAGCCCCCCAGATGTGCCGACCGCCTGGGGACACGCTGGCCTCATCAGCTCTCCGGTCAGTGCCGCCCGGTCCTGCTGTGCCTGGGTTCTTTCCAGTGCCTGCCTCATCCTGGTCTCACTGTAGCTTTAGGGTTGGGTTCAGATCAGCCAGAGCCCGGCTTGTTCCCCTTAGGTCACCAGCCACGCTCTGCAGGGGGCTCACACGTAGTCAGATGGGCAGGGGCTTGCAGACACCAGCAACCAAGACGCCCCAAACCACACTGAGGAGAGATGGTTGTTGATGACATTGAACTTGGGCCCGGAAGCCCTCTGGGATGCAGCTGTGTTCCTGTGGCCTCGCTGACCTTTCATCTGTGGAAGGAGATGAGCTGAACCTTCCAGGAAGGTCAGGCAGTGTCAGCGACAGGTCTGGAGGGCTTCCTGCCTGGGGACACCCTCTGTGCTTCTCTGACACCCACTCTGCTGCTTCTTTACAAATGGAGGGCATTCGACCTGTGGGTCCTTCCTTGGGTTGATAAAAGGTTATCGATAGTTTGATGGGAATTTCATGACCTTCTGTTTGAGAAAAATGGAATTAAAACCACCCAGGTGGCTGAGAATAGTGTAATAATGTCCAGGTAGCTTGGATTGATTACACTGTGGTAGCCACGGGTACATAGTCAACCTTGCCATTGCCTTTCTAAGCCTTCTTTATTTTTTTAAACATTTCTTTCTTTATTTTTTTTTTCTTCTCCTCATGTATCCTTCAGCCCTACCTCACAAGCACCCGAAGCTTGTCTCCGATGTCTGGACTTTTTGGTTCCATCTGGGCCCCGCAAAGCGACGTGTATGAAAATTGCTGCCCCATCAACCCCACCACGGAACACTCGACTCACATGGAAAACCAGGCGGTCATGTGCAAGGAATACTACCCTGGGTTTAACCCATTCCGTGCCTATATGGACCTGGACATATGGACTAGCACCGCGAACAGGAACGCAAACTTCCCACTGTCCAGAGACTCGAGCTACTGTGGGAACGTGTGAACAAGATTCGAGTTTTGAACAGTGTGAATAAAGAGGCTTGTGTTTTGATTACTAGCGTAAACTGGTTGTTGACATAGATTGACGTTTGTGGTTATTTTGGCACTTTTATATGAAAATAAATTTTTTAATGAAATCTGGGTGCTCTATTTTTTTTTAATCCTTCACAAAACAGTGATAGAAACGAAGCATCCATGTGTCCTAACTTCATAACTCAAGAAGCGTGTCAGACACACCAAATGTGTAAATCAGGACCAGGGCGGCTTCTAAGAAGGTAAGAGTTGAGAAAGAAAGCACTGCAGTGATTGCCCCCTCCGTGGGCATCGGACTCCCCGGGAGCTTGCGGAAAGTGACTTTCATCAGGTGGCTTTCCGAGGGGTGCTCTGTAATGGGCCTGTGGCTCAGGCAGCCAGGATTTTGTTTCAAGTGCTCCGTTGATTGAAACGAGCCTCCAGTGTTGGGAAGCCAGCTGCTAGTCACTTGCCTGGACGGACCAGTCCTGGTGGGCAGGGCTGCTGGGGTGGAGCAGAGAGCCCGGCACTGTTCTGTGTGACAGGGATGTTCCCTCCCCGCCATCAGGCCAGTCACCAGGGGCACGACAGCAGTAGGGACATGCTGGTAAGTGTCCGGTTTCCCTCCGAGTGAACAGGCTGAGTCCAAGTCCAAGTACTGAGCGGTTGAGGGTGCTGGTGCGTGTTTGCTAGGCTGGTTTGTATCTGCCTGTCAGTGATCTTAGAAATCCATGTGATGGAATTATCTGTTTGCGTGTATCAACTTGGAAAACATTTCAGCTTTTAATAAAAATGTCTTATTTTTACATTTTGTTTTGTCTTTATTGGAAATGGAACGGGAGAGATTTTTGAGTGGAATGCTGGGTTCACTTGCTTTTTCTTACTCTTTGCCTTGGCTGTGTGGGACCCTGGACGAAGGCTGAGTGTACTGTAACCTGGGACTGCCCTCCTGCAAGGAGCACCTCCGAGCATGCACGGCTACTGGAAACCTCTCAGGCTACTGACTTGGAATCCCCCATCCCCAGTACTGAATAATGCTGAAAAGTAATTTAGGTTCTAGGTATATACCCAAAAGAAGTGAAACAGATGCTTGTGCACCATGTTCACTGAAGGACTATTCACAGTAGCCAGAAGGTGGAAACAACCTAAATGTCCACTGATGGAAGAATGGATAAGCAAAATGTGGTATATACAGACAGTAGGATATTCAGCCTTAGAAGGGAAGGAAATTCTGATACATGCTACATCATGGATGAACCTTGAAAACATGCTGAGTGAAATAAGCCCGTCACAAAAGTACAAGTATTGTATGATTCCACTTATGTGAGGGACCTAGTGCGGTCAAATTCAGAGTCAGAAAGTAGGATAGAGGTTACCAGAGGCTTGAAGGGGAGGGGAATGGGGAGTCAATGTTTAATAAGCTCAGAGTTTCAGTTTGAGGAGCTGAAAATGTTCTGGAGATGGATGGTGGTGATGGTTCCATAACTGAATGTACTTCATGCCACTAGACTGTACACGTAAAAACGGTTAAAATGGTAAGTTTTGTGTTATGTGTATTTTACCAAAATAAAATAATTTAGGTTGATGAAAAATGCCCCAAAGCATTTTCAATATCAAATTCAGAACTTCCCCACCAGAGAGAGTCTGAGACATTTAGATGCTCGTTCTTCTCTCTGCTCAGATCGTTGATCTAATTTTTTTTCCTGCTTTCACTGATCCTTCAATTCCCCATCGGGAAAGACCAAAGCAAGTTTTTATTCCACTCCATACAGAAGAAAGTAAAACGCTGCGCTTGAGCGGGAATATTATCTTCAGCCATAAGACTAAAATCAGTGACGGGGGAACTGGAAGTTTCTATTCATTTAAAAGTATTTGCCAAGCACCTCCCGGGAGCTGGGTCCTGTCCAGGGGCTGTGGGTGCAGCAGAGGACAGGACAGACAAGGTCCTGCTGGGGCATTCCAGGAGCAGGGTCAGGGAAGAAGCAAGCAAAAGGTTCAATGAGTATTTCGGGTCCTGGTGAGCGGTGAGAGGCGAAGGGGTGACGTGACCAGCAGGGGAGGTGGCAGGGGTACCTGGGGTATCAGGGGAAATCTCCCTGCGGAGGTACATCTGAGGTACAACCTGGGTGACGAGAAAGCCGGCGGTGCCCAGATCAGCGGGCCAGAGCCTCCAGCAGAGGAAAGAGGGAGGACAAAGCCTCCGCGGCGGGAGGCCAGGGCGGCTGGGGCCCCGTGAGTCAGGGCCACAGGCACAGAGGCCGCGGGGCAGAGGCCACCTCCCTAAGGCCTCGTAGGCCTCTGAGGAGAGGATGGGAAGGGCAGTGGGCACCACTGGGGTGTCTGAAGGGAGAGGGAATGTCATCTGATTTGAGTGTCAGAGTCACTGAGGGCTGGATGGAGAGCGGTCCTGGGGGGGCGGGGCGGGAGGGACAGTCCCGGCAGTCAGTCACCTGCAGCAGCGGGTGACAGGACAGTGCCAGCAGGCTGGGGTGGAGGGGCGTAGGGAGGTCAGCGCCCCTGCTGGGCCTCGAGAGCTGGGTCCTGCTGATGCCGTTGACCGAGAGGAAGAGCCCCGGGGCGGGGGGGGGGGTTGGGTGGGAGCGGGGCGGGGGGGGGGGGGGGGGGGGGGGGTCGAGAGGTCCGTGCTGGACTATTCGGTGTGGGAGGCCTCACACCCAAGTGCAGACGGCACGGAGGCTGTGGCCCCGACAAATCTGCAGTTCGGTGGAGTTCAGGATTGGAGACTGGGGGGGCATCCATCCTCGGCCTCCAGATGGTTCTAGAGCAATGGGAGTGCCTGGGGCCTCTCGGGGAGGAGAAGGGTCCTGAGCACTTAGCCAGGGGCCCCCGTGTTTAGAAGAGGAGGCGGCGGCAGAGAAGACTGAGGCGGAATTGCTGAGTAGGTCAGAGGCCCAGAGGGGAGGCAGTGGCCCAGGCTGGGTCAAAGGCTGGGGGACCCGTCAGATGAGGGAGCCCTGAGGGCTGCATCCAGCCCACGACCCTTGTGGTGTCCTCAGCTGTTCCAGTCGCAGCCAGTTGACACGGGGGAGACGGAGGTGGCAGTGGAGAAGGCCAGCTGTGGGGAGCCGGATGCGGGGACACGAGGCCAAGGTGGGAGAGCGCTGGGCCTGCTGCGTGCGTACTGAGGGCGAGGCCCGGGCAGAGAGGGGGCAGGTGGGGCCCTGGGTGTCACTTACAGGCACCTGAGCCTGGACGGACAGGGGCGCTTCACCCCCCATGGTGGGAGGGACGGCAGAGACCTGAAGAATAGGTCTATTTATGAGAGAAGTGACAAGACGCCCAGGTTTGGGTTGCACATCATGGCCTCTGGCCTGTTTTTGTGGATAAAGTTGTACTGGAACACAGCCACTCCTCATTCCTCTTCCAAACAGGGCACAGCCTAAAATGTTTACTCCAGTCCTTTACAGAAAAAGTTTGCTGATCTTTGCTCTAGGGGACGGAAGAGCAACAAGAGAGCAGGAACCTGGGTCTCCGACACCACAGAGGCACCTGCCCTCACAGCCCTGGGCTCCGACTGCACTGGGAAGGAACACATAAGTTCTCTCTTGTTTGGCTACGGCTGTGTGGGGTCTGTGTTACAGCATCAGCGCTAATACAGCGCTCTTCTCTTGTCTGGTTCAGTATTGTCTCTGGTGCCTGGCATAGTGTCTGATACACAGGAGTGTGTGGAAAGGAGTGAGTGGGAGGGGTGTGTGTGAGCACAAGTATCTGGCAGTAAAGAAGTGAGTCTTAATAATTAGGGAATACTTCGATTATTCTGTGGCTGACCACAAGCAAAGGCAGGAGAATTACCACAGTTCCTTACATACTAAACACTCATACATACATACATGCTCTTACATACCAATCTCCATGTACAGAGCTCTTCATGACAACTGTTACTACATTGGATTATGTTACCACCGGGGAAAACCTGAGTAAGAGTCAGTAAGTAGAGTAGGTAAGGTGGTAGAGGCTGACCCTGCCTATCAGGAGCTTTGACTTTAATGGGAGACTCATCAACGAACATCCCCTCTGGGGCCAGACTTCATGGGGTCTAACTCCAGCTTTAGCACATTCTTAAATTTCCCATGCCTCAGTTTCCTCTTTCTGTAAAATGGGTATAATAATGGTAACATACCTCACAGAGTTGCTGGGAAGCTTTAATGAATGAGTTTTTAGATAGTGCTTGGCACATAGTAAACCCTCAATTGGCTACTTTCAGTATTCCATATAATTACTATCATCAATTTAAATGAAAGAACATGAAACAACAGGGTACATAGGAACTTAAGTCTCAGCGTGGGAAGGGGCAAGTGAAGCAGGCATTTGTACATTGCTGATGAGATGGTAAATTGGTGGGCAATATGTATTAGGTACCTTGAAAACTCTTCTAGGAATTGACTCCCAAGGAAAACAGTAAAAAAAAATTGTGCACAAAAATCAGTTTTCTATTGCTGCTGTAAAAAGTTCCCACAAACTTGGGGGCTTCAAACAACAGAAATGTATTATCTTACAGTTTTGTAGGTCAGAAATCCAACACAAGTCTTGCTGGGTTAAAAATCAAGGTGTTGGCAAGGCTGTGTTCCTTTGTGGGGGCTCTAGGGGAGAATCTGCTCCTTTCTCGACTGCCCCAGCTTCTAGAGGCTGCTTACATTCCTTGGATCACGGCCCCCTTCCCCCATCCTCAAAGCCAGTAATGTGGAACCCCTCTGACCATGCTTCCATTATCACATCTTTTTCTCTGACCACAGCTGGGAAAGTTTCTCTTAAGGACTCATGTGATTGATTCGATTGGCTCCACCCAGTTTAACTCCCCATCTCGAGGTTCTTAACTTAATCATACCTTCAAAGTCACATATTTTTGCTATGCAGTCACATATTCACAGGTTCCAGGGTTTAGGATGTGGACATCTTTGGGGCAGGGTTGTTATTCTGCCTATGATGTATGAGCAGATTCATTACAGTGTTTAGAACGCTGATGAATTGCAAATAAATGTCCCACGATAGGAATAGGTTTAAATTACAGTACATTCAGATGTTGGAATATGAGGAAGCCTCTAAAAATCATTGGAAGAGAATGACATAGGCAATGAAAGAGGTAGGATACAGTTTATACGCAGTA